AAGAAAAAAAAAAGTTAATTGTTTATTATCAAAATTTACATATTTATATATGTAATTATAGATTAAGGCCATCCCCCAAATCAGCTCCTTCTGGTATTGGGCTGGGCTTTCAACTATTTGGGCACGGTTTGATCGGACCTACTTCTGGGCCTCCCCATATACGTGTTCGGTCCTTTTTTTTTCTTTTTTCTTTTTTCTTTTCTTTTTCCTATGTCCCGACGATTTTTTTATATGTTTCATTGAACATATGTTTCAAATATTAGTGGGTAACTTTAGTTTTCAAACTATTTTTTATACAGTATTACTGAGAAAATATTAATTAAGTACTCACTGATTTTAATGGATTATTAATATATATTTTATATAAGTGTTTTACATTTTGTTATATTTGTAATTACATTTTAGAAGATATTTTGGTTGCACATAGCACACAAAGATTTTGACTACAACCATTTCTATAAATCTTATATCACACGCTTGTCACAAAGAGGCAAAAAAAAAAAAAAAGGAGGTTATCCATTCAAATTCTAATTTGTTCTCATTTTCCTCAACTAAATAAATTTTAGTTCTATTTCAGAAAACTATTAATCACAAATTTGTCAAATTACCTATTTGTCCACTGTCTCTTGAATAGTTAAAAAAAAATCTTGCAAATTATCTGATTAAGTAAAAAAGTAATATAATAAATAATTGAACTTATTAAGATTAATATTTTGCCAGGTATTTTGATGAGTGTTGATTATGATAAGGCCAATGATAATGTATTAATATATATTAGCTGGAGGGGTGATAAGTGGGACCCACTTATGATTGGGCTGCCAAATGTCATATTACAATTGGTTGGCGACACGAGTGGAAGACAATATCCTCATCAATATGTTGTGTTTGGTTTATCACTCACAAAAAAGTGGGTTTTTTTAAGATAAATAAATTCAAATCTAAAGGTCAGCTTTATTTATTGCCTTTTACTTTTTGGTTTTGTTTGGGGATATAGCTTCTTTGCATTCATGATCCCTTTGAAACCCCTTATTAATTTTTAAGTTATCTACTTTCCATTTTTGCATGTTAAAATATCAATAAATTTATTTATGTGTGTAAATTATTTTTTGTTAAATTTTTAATGGTGTAACTTATTTTCTTAGTTTTGAGATGTTGAACAGAGACGAACAAAACGTCTAGATCTCTTCTCTACCTCTTTAATTACACTTTCTCTTTATACGTACAATCCTAAAAGTATCATAAAACTCAAGACTACTAGTTTTATAGGATGAATTAAACCAAAACATTATAAGTGATTAATTTCATCTTTGCACACCATTTACTCTCAACATCCAAAGGGGCAAAATTGATACCAGACATATCATACAACATATATTAAACCTAATTTCAAGAAACAATGAGGGTTACTTTAGCCCCTGCTAACCGTTTTTCGTTTTTGGTTTTTAGTTTTTAAAAAATATATTGTTTGATAACCCATCTGTTTTTTGTTTTTCAAAAACCCTTTTGAAATTCTATATAAATTTTAAAAACAAAAAAAAAGTATGTTTTCAAAAACAGGTTTTTGTTTTTCAAAATCTCATTTCTTCTTTTAATACTCAACTTTTTTTTTTCTTTCTTATATTTATCGTTAAAAAATTTATTTTTTACTCTAATTTTTTTATTTCTAAATTTCTCTCTACAAAATGTATTTTTCTCTTTAAAATTTTCATATTTTGAATATTTATTGTTATTTGTCTCTCTTCAACATTTTCTGTATTTTTGTTTTTTTTCTAACAAACCAGTTTCATTTCTCTTGCTAAAAAATTAATATTTTTTCTAATTTTTTTCTCTTGAAAATTTCATATTTTATAACTTTTCTGTCTCCCAGTAATCTATTTTTTAAAATTATATTTTATTTTCTCGTTCAATTTTCTTTCACCTTAACTTTTATTTATCTTTTTTATTTATTTTATATAAAAATTATATTTTTAATATTATTTTTATCTCTAAATTTGTTTCCACTATAATTTTTCTCTTTTTTTATAATTTCTTTTTTTTTTCTTTAACATATCTTTTCCTCACGATTTTATTTTTTCTCCAAAAGTTTTATCTTTTTGTCTTTAACTTTTCTCAACCTATTTTTTTTCTAAATATTTTTATTTATCTCTCTAAAATTTATCTTCCAAAAGTTTATTTACATCTCTATTTCATGTTTCTACATCGGGGGAAAGACCAAAATTTCCGCAGGATTGGGTCCCAAAAATAGAAAACGCATGTTCCGACCCCATCCCCGTCCCCAATTCCATTTTTTAAATAATTAATATATATTTATTACACTTTTTTATATTTAAATTCTAAAAATAATTAAAAACAATTATAAAATCGATAATTTTTCTCGAGAACATCTCTCGGACCCAAGAACGAGGTGGAGACGGAGACTAAAAATTTGCACAAACCCGATAATGGGGAGAGCATCCTCACTCGCACTCACACTATCTCTACTCTATATAAATTTTTCTCTCTCTAATATGTATTTTCAATTTTCTAACTTTTTAGAAACAAAAAACTAAAAATGGTTACCAAACATTGTTTTGGCTTTTTGTTTTTTAAAAACAAGAAAAAAAAATGGTTATCAACCATATATGGTTTTTGTTTTTTAAAAATAGAAAACCAAAAACTAAAATTGTTATTAAACGAACCCTGATAAAAATTAAAAAAGAAAAAAAAATCCGAAGGTAAAATTGCATCCCTAATTTGTCTAGTACGCATCAAACACAACATTGTGTACAAAATGTAGACACAATTCATGGCAAGCAAAAGTAGCCCATACCAGCTTTCTAATCAATCCTTTTTGTTCCATGCTTTTTCGGACATGCCATGAATATATGCCTTTGAAGTTTGAAATAACCTCTCCATTTTGTCGATGCTACCTACAATTAGGCCACCCTTCACATGTCATATTAAGACAACAATTGCATCAAATTTCAAATCACAATGGGTCCGTCATGTCCCAAAATGACGTTGTAAAAGTCGAATGGTCAACAACCTCGAGTCCAAAATTAAGTAATAAGTATCTTCTATAAATTTAAGTTCTTCGGACCTCGTCTAATAACCATTTCGTGATGTCAAACCCAATGGTTCTAATTTTAACCCGCCAAGGCTCCAAAAACAGCCATCATTTTTTAAGGCAAAGGGTATGAGAAAGAAGATTGAAAATATGGGGACAGAGACCGCATGCAGCATAAAGCATTCCTGTCCCATACGACATATATAAGAGACCAATATTTCTCAATTTTCTCAAAAAGTTTGCTTTTTTTAGGGTTCTCATTATGATTTCCATTTCTGCATGCACAGCACACGTGTAAGCAAACCCATCTTCACAATCACATTCCCTTCTTATTTTTCTTACAGTCTCAACAAAGTATGAAGAATTTCAACAATTAAACTAAACTATCTAACGTTGACATTAACAATTTTGGCTTAGAAATGGGTTCACAAGGCAATATTTCTTTAAACAGAAACTTCCCTATTCTCAGCTTGATAAGCCATGGAAAGGACGCAACTGATCTCTACAGGGAAAATTGCAGTGTCAAATTACCTGTGAAATTTCAAGCATTGGGTCCACAGAACCGAAAATTTCTATTACTAGGATGGGATAATACTTCTATTCAAAAAGTATAAATAAAATACTTAAAAGTTTGTAATTTTCTTATAATTTATCTACCAAAGCATATATATAAAAGATAGGAGATAAAGTTAAAATTTCTTGTTCCACCCTTAAATTAATCTAGAAATTATATGGACGGAGAGATTAATGTTGAAGCTTACACATGCAAACAAAAGGAATGTGACTTGACTTTTATAGACCCCAAAAGTTAAAATTGCCTGTGTTTGAAAGATGGGGTTTGAAAAATATGTAAGAAGAAACCGTGTCACCTTATCAATGGAAGAAGGAGAATTCGAGGTGGCCCTCAACTCAAATCTATATGTGGAAAAGGCATATTAATGAGAGGGACAGAGACAAAGAAAAGGCCATGTTTTGGTTTCTCATTTGAGTGAGACAAGTTGTCCTATAGAGATGAGATCAAGATAGATCCCTTATTTTTTTTTCCCTCTAATTTGAAATCTAACCTTATTTTGTTTGAAAGTGTATGGCTTAGCCATGGTCTTTTTTTTCTCTCGAAATCGATGTCATGTAGCTTACGTTAGTACATCTCTATAACTGGGATTCGTTGTCTAGACTGAGCAACATTGTGACTCTAACAAAGCTCGAACACAAGACCTTATGGTAGGTGATACCACAAGGTCCTATGTCCTTGCACTATGCGATTCTTTATGGACTATGATTGTTGTCATTAAGAAAGGGAAATTTGAAAATCTTGATATTATAAGAAAGGGAACACCCAAAAGTTGAGTAGGGTAATTATTATTGGGTGAGAGTAGGAAGATTTTGGTGGTCGTGGGAGTAGGAGATAAAAACTTCAGGCCACATTGATATTGTTTTGTTTATAAGTTTTTGGTAGTATAAATATTTAGAGTTTGAGGGTGTTCTGAGAATTGAGGGGTAGGGGTGATGAAGGAGACTCTAAGGTATTTGGCTGGAATTGCAGGGCAAAGTGGGTATGGCTCTAAATCCACTGCAGAGCAAGTTACTCAACATTCTCACTTTTCTTCTCCTTTGACTGCAATTATAACTGGTTAGTTACTGTTTCCAAATGTTTTATAAATACCACTGTTTTTAACATCTCTAACTTATCATCTCTTGTATTGGGTTTTGTTTTAATTCACTTTGTTCTGCAAGTTGCATGCTTTAATTTTATGGTTTAGTTTGTGATTTGTACTAAACAGAAATGTATTGAAAACCAAAGTTTACCAAGTTGAACATATGCATGTGTGTGTGTAGTGGAATTGAACCAAATGCCAACCAAATTAATCATATCATAGACTGCCATATACATGGAACATAAGAATACATATTGAAGGAAACAAGGTGAAATCGCAGCATCATCAATCAAACCATATAATGTTGCCAAAGAATGATATCAAAAGAAGACAGAAGCAATCAAAATACAGCTCTGAAAAGTTAAAGTCCAAGAATGATAACTAAATGAAGTTAACAAAGGTTGATCTTTTATTGAGTATGAACTAACAAGAAATGTGTGGTGGTGGAAACTGAAAGGGGCAACATCAGGAATTGGAGAAGAAACAGCAAGAGTGATGGCAAAGAGAGGGGTGAGAATAGTGATAGCAGCGAGAGACCTGAAGAAGGCAGCAAAAGTGAAAGAGAGGATCAAAAGAGAAAGTGCAGAAGCAGAAATTTTAGTGTCAGAGATAGACCTCAGCTCCTTGGCTTCTGTGAGGAGATTCTGTGTGGACTTTGCAGCTTCAGGGCTACCACTCAACATTCTCATGTGAGTTTGCCTTCACTTTTCCCAACCAAAAACCCCCATTTTTCCTCACCCCCTTGTCGTCTTGCTTTTCGCAGAAACAATGCTGGAGTTTTCTCTCCAAATTTGGAGTATTCCGACGACAAGTTTGAATTGACATTTGCTACTAATTATTTGGGTAATTTTCACTTCTCAGCTAAACAAATACAAATAGATAGCGAAAGGAAAAGAGGAACAGTAATTTTCCCTTTTCTCCCGCAGGGCATTACCTTCTGACAGAGATGCTTTTAGACAATTTGATAGAAACATCAAAGAGAACAGGAATCCAAGGAAGAATAATAAACGTCTCTTCTGTTGTCCACTGTTGGGTGAAGAAAGATGGCCTCTGCTTCACTCACCTGCTCAACCCAAACAAGTTAGAAAATTTGCTACATGGTTTCTGCTCAATAATCAGCCAATGTATGGTAGAGAAATTAAAGCAAATGCAAAACTAAACCATGTGCTTGTGCAGATACAATGCCACGCTTGCTTATGCTCAGTCAAAACTAGCTTGCATTTTACATGCCAAAGAGGTGGCTAGGCAGTTGAAGGTTATTTTATTATCCATCTTAATCTATCTATCTTTTCTGCAAACAAACAGCCCATGTTCTGAATTTCACTCATTTTTACAGGAAAGAGCAGCCAATGTAACAGTTAATGCACTGCATCCAGGAATTGTAAAGACTGCAATTATCAGAGCCCATGGAGGATTTATCACAGGCATGAACTATTGTGTACATTTTGCCTAAAGCAAAATAACAAAGAGGGTATTGAATTATTATAATTATTCTAACATGTTCTGCAGATTCTCTGTTCTTCATGGCATCAAAGTTGCTGAAGTCTATTCCTCAGGGTGCGGCTACAACATGCTATGTGGCTCTAAACCCACAAACAGAGAGAAAAACAGGGAAATATTTTTCAGATTGTAATGAGACCAAGTGTTCAGCTCTAGCCAATAATGAGTTAGCAGCACGAAAGCTGTGGATGCAAACTCGTGCCCTTATTCACAGGCAACTTGGTGAAACAGCTTCAGCTTAAAGATTTTGCTTTCTATTTCATCATCAGTAACTTTTAAACCACCAGAGAACAGTATATATAAATCTGTGCATTTGTAAACGAACAGCGACCCGAGACAAGAATAAGATGTTATAATAAATTAGGCCATTTTCTTGAACAAATCCCTCGATCTGTCAGAAGTTGACCTTTGTATATGTCTGAGGGTAATTTCTAAACCCTAATCTGAAATCAATACTATGCTCGTGCTATTAGGATCTCCTAATTAAGCAGAAACAACAAGAGTAATCTTTTCGTGGACCAGATCGCAACAAAGGGAATAGTGGAAATTTAAAAAATTGGATCAAGCCCGCCAATTGATGGATCAGCGATTTGCAAATAAACTAGGCCCAATTATAGAATAACAGGCCTAAAATTAGGGTCCAATAAAGGTCAGACCCTAGGCCCAACCTAGTTTTAGTTCAGTCTATTAAGCCCATAGCAGACCTCAGAGATTCCTTTTTATGATTTATTTAAATATAAAACTTATTCAATAATTTTAATAATTAATATTGTGTATCTACTTGTTTTCGGTCAACATTCAATAACTACACGTCTAAATATATAAAAGAAAGTCCGTCTAGCTCCGTTGGTAGCGTGCAAGGCTCTTAACCTTGTGGTTGTGGGTTTGAGCCCCACAGTGGACAACGTAACTGGGTCGTTGTACAAATATTTTGGAGATCAAATATTTGATCCAATAATATTAATATAATCAATCATTGAGTTGAGGAATAATAAAACAAAACCAAGAAGCACGTGAATTATTATTATTATTTCTTTATAATTTAATACGTTGGCTCAAAAGAAAAAGCAGGGATACCGAATAACCAGGGAAACACCACACGTTCTATGAGATTACCAACAAAAAAGCACAGCTATTTTTTAATTTGGATTTACATACAAAATATATCGATGACTCATTTTATGTTCCCAATAATGGCATGGCAGACCCAAAAAGAAGGAATATTTTCTTACTAATTTTGTACCTTCTGTTGGCGACGTTTTGTAGTTGATTACTAAAAATAAGAAATCAAGGATAAAACAAGAATGAGTTGAGAAAAAGAAAAAGGAAAGAGAAAAAATCATTTCATGCCCAATCAAGATTTCATGTACAAATTTTCTTGTTTGGTGGTTAGTTATCTAGATGATTATGAGATGAGCTTTCCATTTTAGTTATTTGCCAGATTAATTCATATGCTTTATAAATTTTCAAGAGGAATATCCTTCTTCGTTCTGCTCCTGCTTCCATATCGAAATATTGGTAATCATTTTGATAACTTGAGAGTTCAAGTCAACACCCTTCACATTTGTAAAGTTACCTTCTTAAAAAATTTTAGGAGTGGAGAGGTAAGAATTTGTGATAGGATATGAATTATGATGACAAGAAGGGAATAACTTGATAAAGAAACATAATAGAGAGTAAAAAGTGGGACTCCTCTTGGTGAAAATGATGAAAGAATTGACCATAAATTGAAGAATATTATAGACTATAGTAATGATACCTACAGGTCCTACACTACATTACCATGTTTCTCTTCTCGCCCTTCTTTTATGCTATCCCCTTCATCCCTCTAAGGTGGAGGGGAGGGGACATGTACCATATTTTAACATTTTATCTATAAAGTCAGGCGGCTTTGTTTTTTCCTTCACAAATCCCTCGGCTGTCCCATCCAAATAAGCCATTTTTTTGGCTTTCAATTCTATGCTCATTACCTTCCACTCTCACCGCCCACCATTCTCTGAATGATTTCACAAAAATTTAGAAAAATAATTTTCTATTTAACGAAAATTTTTATTGATGAATGAAAATGAACAAAATTATTTAAAGACACACTCCTCCCAATAGAGTGAAAGTAAAACCAGTAAAAATAAAGAAAAAGAGTTGGAAAATTAAACCGGAGTTATAAATTCCTAACATTCCATTCATCAACAAGATTAGTATAATGAAACATTATTAAATAATGAAAAATGTTAAAGCATAAAAAATTAAATTGAAACATTATCAAATAATAAGGACCAAATTTAAAAAGAAAAAAAAAATACCCGCACAGTCGAGGCTAAAACATATATTTAGATAAATGTTTCGTCTTACAACTTTTGAGGGTACAAAATTAGTAAGAATTTAATATCTAAAATAAGCGGCCACTTCAAAGATTGAACTTGTTCTTCTGAAGTTTTTTCTTTCCTTCTTGCCCTTCTCCAATGTAAAAATTCCATTTTCATTTCTTAATTTTATATAAAGGTCTAAATTAAATGTAAATATAAAAATTCAACCATAGAGCCATAAAGATCATAATAATTTTTTAAAACTTAAAGGCAAAAACAAAACATCTGATAATATGAAAACAAAAATGATCGAGTGAGAGATCTTCTTCATGCATGAGTGGCTTATACTCATTTTTAGTTCAAGAACCAAGTTATGTGGAGCAATTCAACAGAAGATTCATCAAGGCAATTAACATACATCACTGAACATTTCTCCCTAATAACAATAGAAGCTGTATAAGATAGGTTTATATTTGATGATATGAGATGAGAGTTTCAAGAGAAAGGTTAAATGGGAGGAAATGTAGATTGATGGGAATGATATTTACTGTGATTGGTAGGGAGATGATGTGATCACAAAGATTACTTATAAATAAAAGTGGGAGGCATTCCCTCAGCTACTTTGGCTACCTAGTTTTAAACGCATGCGGATTCCACCCACTAGATTTAATCTTGTGGTAGAAACCAAATATTACACCAATCTTTCATAACCTACTTATCTACTCTCATAACCTATTTGGCGTAACCTATTTGGTCATTTCTGGAGTTTATTGACATTTGTCTAGTGCATATTGTCGTTTGATAATGGAGGAAGTGTTATTTCACCTGCTATTTCAAGACAAACAAGAGATTCTTTAGTGTGCGGCTTTCTTTACTACTTCGTGGAACATTGAACTCGAGAGAAGTAGGAGAATTTTTAGAGGCCTCAAAAAGGAGGGGTGGACTATGACTAGGTTTCACGCCTCTCTTTGCGCGTTAGCTTTCAAGGATTTTTGTAACTATTCTTTTATTTTTTCTTCTCAACCATTGGAGACATTATTTGTAATTTTTAGGTTTATTTCCATCATACAGCTCCTCTTTTAGTGGGGTTTTCTTTCTTTTGTAATTATTGTTTGGTTTCTTTCTTCTATCTTAATGGAAGCTTGGTTTGGCCAAAGAAAAAAACTTATTTATGTGCAATTTAAATATACAAACATCTCAATCCTAACAGTCTTACTTTCAAGTTTCTTATTATGGTTCAAATTATATTAAAATTTGTCATTTCTCTGTATCAGGCCATGCATTTTCCATTCACAAACATTGCTGTTTAATGATTTTCATAATGTATTTTGTCAAGCAATTTATTTAAAGAATAAAATCCTACAAATATTTATAAAACTATAAACACGTAACAGTAGCAAGAACCAAATCCTCTTCTCATCAAACTTCGTAAACAGTTTCAAGAACATTTTCTGGAAAGATCAAGAGCCAAGAAATACAAAAGATTTCTAAATACATCTATTTTCAAAAAAATAAATAAATAAATAAATAAAATACAAAAGCAAACAGAAACAGAAACAAACAATCGAAGATATTTACAATAACAAACAGTGGATTTAACATTACCCATGGACTTGGGCTTTCATGACACATTCATAGCCAAACGCAAAGCAAAGATCATTATTAGATATATAGTTCCAAAAATAGTATCAGGCTATCAGCACCAACCTATTCATCCTTAGTTGATAGCTTTGCATGTAAAGGAATCGGAACAAAATATTCTCTCCACAATACAAATTAGTTTATTTTTGCCTTAAAATAAAAGGATTTCTTTCAATATTGTAATCTCTCTCTGAAAAAAGTAAGATGCAACATATCCATGTTATTGTAGAATATATAACCAACAAAATATAAATGATGTGACAGATATAGAGTGTTTTGAAGTTTGTATTACCGTCGCTTTTCCATGGCGCTCGAGTGCTCTGACTAGAAATCTTGTTTTAAGCTTGTACCGGTTGTATGGTCCTACCTAATAAATGGAGAAACATGAATTAGAATCATACAAATCTCAGTGGTTAACAAAACATCGAGAAAAGAATATCTAACGAATGGATATAAATTCAAGCTCTCTGTACATGAATAAGTATATTACTTGGGAAACCTTAACCGATTTGTGTTTGGTAATTTTAATGAATCATGAAAAGTAGTGAGTACACGAAGGGGGGGAAAGATGTGTAGAATAGGCCGAGTCTATTAGTTGCCATTACCACTGGTTTTGTGACGGCTACAGATTCTTAAACAGAAACAGAGAATCTCTCTAAAGATCTTAAGATAAACTACCTACATGTTTAAGGGTCTGCATAGCTTATGATTGCACATCCAAATAATGTACAAGTGGACTTTCGAACAAACAATACCATCCATCCGCGTTCCACTTACCTATTTCTTAATTTTAGAAGTTCTATCTGCAGTTTTTGGGTTTTCTTTTCTATAATTCATAAACAAAATGAATGCATGTATGTCTTTGTTTGGACAGCATCAATTTGTCCAGAAAGTTTTATTTGTTCTGAAACAGCTCTATATGATTGCTTAGCTTAACTATGAATATGTTCTCTCTGTCAATCTCTCTCTAGTAGCTCTCCCTCCTTTCTCTCTCTCCCGCCCTCTCACTCTGAATTATAAGAACAGGACTCACCTTGTTCATAAATAGAACAATCGAACGCCGACTGAAATTCCATTGTTTCTTCTCGAACAACATAGACTAGAAGGTCTGTTGGATCCGGAGAACATGGTTTTATTCACTATTCGGCAACACAATCAGCCAGAAAGAACATGATTTTTCCTCGCCCATTGCCATTTCCTAGGTTCAGACCAGCTTTTCTGCTTTTCCCATTTGAGTTCCTAGCAAAGGTGTAGTAATGCATGCAAAACCATGGACCTTCTTCTTCATACTATTCCTGTTTTCCTCCTCTTTAATCGCTTCTGCCGTCAACCATCAAGGCGAAGCTCTCCTATCATGGAAACAATCTCTGAATCTATCGGCCCAAGAGTTGAACAGTTGGAATTCAAATGATGAAACTCCCTGCGGGTGGTTTGGAATCACCTGCAACTTCAAACAGGAAGTTGTGGAAATAGAATTCAGGTACGTTGAATTGTTGGGTAAAATTCCCACTAATTTTAGCTCATTGTCGACCCTGAGCAAGCTCATCTTGGTGGGGACAAACCTCACTGATTCAATTCCTAAAGAGATTGGCGATCTAAGGGAATTGAATACATTGGACTTGAGTGTCAATAGCTTGACAGGAGAAATCCCAATTGAGATATGTGGTTTGCGCAAGCTCAAAAAAATGGACCTCAGCTCGAACATACTTGTGGGATCGATCCCAGCTGGAATTGGGAATCTTACGATTCTTAAAGAGCTTGGTCTTCACGATAATCAACTAAGCGGTCAAATTCCCAGAAGCATAGGAAACTTGAAGCTGCTGGAGCTCATTAGAGCTGGTGGGAACAGAGACATCGAAGGCAATATACCTCCAGAAATTGGGAACTGCACCAATTTGGTTTATGTAGGCTTCGCTGAGACCAGAATTTCAGGCTCTCTCCCACCAAGCTTAGGCCTCCTCAAGAAGCTTAAAACACTCGCATTCTACACAACCCTTCTCTCTGGCAAAGTTCCTCCTGAAATTGGAAACTGCAGTGAGCTCCAATACCTGTTCCTCTACGAGACGTCGCTCACAGGTTCGATTCCAACCAGCTTCGGAAATCTCCAAAACCTGCTAAATCTGTTTCTATATAGGAACAGGTTGACGGGCACGTTGCCAGAGGAGCTTGGAAACTGTTACCAATTATTGGATATTGACATTTCAATGAATTCTTTGACGGGAAGCATTCCAATCACATTTGGTAACTTGACTTTTCTACAAGAACTAAATTTGGGCATGAATAATATTTCAGGCGAGGTGCCCGCAAATATTGGAAATTGGACGGAACTTACTCATTTGATGCTCGACAACAATCAAATCACGGGTTTGATACCTTCGGAACTAGGAAATTTGAAGAATTTGAGAATGTTGTTCTTGTGGCATAACAAGCTCGAGGGAAGTATCCCGTCCTCAATTTCCAACTGCGAGATTCTTGAGGAGGTGGATTTATCGGTAAACGGATTGACGGGTCACATTCCTGGAGAAATTTTCCACCTTAAGAAGCTAAATAGCCTCATGCTCCTCTCCAACAATCTTTTGGGCGTCATACCTCCAGACATCGGCAATTGCTCATCGCTAAATCGTTTCAGAGTCAACAATAACATGCTCTTCGGCGCTCTCCCACCACAGATTGGGAATTTGAATAATCTGAGTTTCTTGGACCTCGGAGAGAATCGGCTCACTGGAGAAATACCTGATGAGATTTCTGGCTGCAAGAATCTAACATTCATCGATATACACTCCAACTCCATTAGTGGAGCTTTACCCTCAGGTCTCGACCAACTTATTTACCTTCAAATAATTGACTTCTCAAATAATCTAATTGAAGGGAATATAGATGCTGGTCTCGGACTGTTAAGTTCACTCACCAAACTCATCCTGTACAACAATCGATTTTCCGGCCCAATCCCTAATGAGCTCGGCTCCTGCTTGAAATTACAGTTGTTGGACCTCAGCGCTAATCAACTTTCTGGTAATCTCCCGTGGAAGTTGGGAGACATTCCAGCACTGGAAATCGCCTTAAACCTAAGCTGGAACCAACTCAATGGCGAGATACCGAGTGAGTTCGCCTATCTAGACAGACTCGGAATCTTGGATCTCTCACACAACCACCTGAGCGGCGACCTCCAAACCATCGCCGTCATGCAAAATCTCGTGGTACTCAACGTCTCCGACAACAATTTCTCAGGCCGAGTGCCGGAGACTTCCTTCTTCAAAAAACTCCCTCCGAGCGTCCTCTCCGGCAATCCGAACCTCTGCTACGGCAGCATATGCACCGATGAAAGGGAAGGAAGAAACTCAAGGCGAGAGTCAGCGCCTCGCGTGGCGGTGGTGGTGCTACTGTGCATAGCTTGCACGCTTCTCATGGCGGCACTTTACATCGCCTTCGGATCGAAAAAAATGGCCGAAAGACACTTCTACGGGGACCACGACGGTGACGGCGTTGATAGCGATTTGGAGATTGGCCATGAACTTGATTGGGAGATGACGCTCTATCAGAAACTCGACCTATCAATTTCTGACGTGGCAAAGAAGCTTACAGCTGGCAACATCCTCGGTCGTGGCCGATCTGGCGTCGTTTACCAGGTCAACATCCCACCCGGTGTAACAATCGCCGTCAAACGGTTCAAGACATCGGAGAAGTTCGCCGCCGCCGCATTCTCCTCCGAAATCTCCACTCTAGCCAATATCCGGCACCGGAATATCATCCGATTACTCGGCTGGGCGGCGAATCGGAAAACGAAACTGCTATTCTATGACTATTGGCCACATGGAAACCTTGGCGATCTGTTACACGAGCGATGCGCCGGCGGATATGTCATCGATTGGGACGCTCGGTTCAAGATCGCGATCGGAGTGGCGGACGGGTTGGCTTACTTGCATCACGATTGCGTGCCGGCGATCTCGCACCGAGACGTGAAGGTCCAAAATATACTGCTGAGCGATGAATACGACGCATGCCTTACAGATTTTGGATTCGCCAGGTTCATTGAAGACGATCTTAACGACTCCTCGTCGGCCAATCCGCTATTCGTCGGATCTTATGGCTACATCGCACCAGGTGAGTACGATTTTCAGATAACAATCAAATTTAACCCTAACTTTTGGCTAATGTTGATTTTATTGACAGAGTATGGCCGTATGCTGAAAGTAACAGAGAAGAGCGATGTGTATAGTTACGGAATCGTGCTTTTAGAGATGATTACTGGTAAAAAGCCAGCAGATCCTTCGTTTGCAGAAGGTCAACACATAATCGAATGGGTCCGACAGCATCTATACAGCAAGAACAACCCAATCGAGCTTTTGGATCCAAATCTAAAAGTCGATCCCGACGCCGAAATCCAAGAAATGCTTCAGGTGCTGGAAATCGCGCTTCTCTGCACCAACAATCGCGCGTATGATCGCCCTACAATGAAGGACATCGCTGCATTACTGAGAGTAATTCAAACCGAGTCGAGGATGAAGATCAATGGCAAGAAACCTGGTAATGGGTTAAAGAGACTAGAAATTCAGTCGTATTTGTCGTCTTCTTTGGCCTCGACTCGGCTGCAACTTCTTCAATGCGACAACTCTCGCTGCTCGTTTGCTCACTCGTCTTCCTCCGGTTATCCCCATCGTTCGGTAACCTAATTTCAGGCTTCGCGCCATAAAAATTGTTTTTAAAAAATGTTAATGCTATATTTATCTGTTGTTAACTTGTTTGAGAATAGAATGACTCCAGAACTTTTTGAAAATTTTGACTTAAAGAATGATACGACGATGACAATAAGTATCTTATTTTAATGTGAAAAAAATATGGTTGATCATATATGATGGATGTATTTTTTTTATATAGTAAGATGATTAATATAGACTTTGTCAAAAATATGATATGATATTTTCTATTTTTGACATAATTAGTCTCAATCCTTAATTATATACCAATAATCTTCCCCTAAAACGAGAGGAAAAAAATGGAAGGAAAGAAAAAAAAAAGTCGCGTAGGAATGGCGAAGAAATGGAGCAGCAGCACGCGAGCGGCATATCAGATTTGCCTCTGCCCTGCTTTAATCTTCCACTACTTTTGATGCTTCACCACTTCAAACAAACACCAATTTCTTTCCACTCTCTCCACCATCCGAATCTGTGTACTTCTTCTGCACCATTCTGATTACTCTTTTTCATCAATTTTTAACCACCTTTTTATTATAAAACTACCTCTAATCCAATTCCCCATMAACTTTAATCTCCACCAATGCTGTGATTTGTTCACAAATTTCTTGGGCTTCCCGCTACTCACGCGCTTCTTTTTAAAACAATAACATTTACACGTTTGTAGGTTAGTATCTATCTTTCAAAGTTTAATGGTAGTTGGCAAAATATAGATGTTGACTAATAAGTATTAAGTATTTTTCATTTTGTAATTTCTAATACAAACCTATTTCAACTTTACTCTCACAATTCTGATTAATTTCTATATATGAGGTCCAGATGAGACCAATGTTGGGTGTTTTGAGTTATCTTTAATGCATTTTAAACTCAGTTTTTTTCTTTTAAATGTCTATTTTTGTTACCAACAGTTAATACAATTTTGTCTTTTACAAGGTCGAAATTCTATATCATATTATCATATTTGTTGTMTTTCGAAGGCATTTACTATAGCAAKTGGAGGAGGGAAGCATAGGGAAGAGACCACAACCTTCTAATTCTTTGTATTTCCACTCCAATAGTTACAAAATTCCATATCCTCTATGATTAACATTATGAAAAAAAAAAAAACAAAACAAACCATAAAAGTGAAACCAGGAGAAAGGAAAAAAAAAAATTATACATTACATTCTATCCTACAAGCTTTTTTCAATATTATTACAACTTAATTTTTGTTTTCATGGGCATTTTACATTCCTCCCAGGACCTCCATAGTAAAAATAAGTGCCCCAAACATTATTGTTGCCTTGTCTTATATCATAGCAATCAGAATGGTCAGCCAAGAGATGAAGATTTGTTAGAGGAAGCAAATTATTGTCCCAATCAACCACTTGGAGGTTCCTGAAATATGAAGCTTTTCCAAAGCCTTCTTCTGCAAAATGGCCACTCCCCATTTGAGTGGCTGTGTGGAACCCTGATGATCTGCTGTTCACTATCTCCCCTCCAAACTGCACCATGCTCCCATGGCTCCTTAAATGGCTGAACAGAAACGCCGGCCAGTATCCGACTAGCAGACCTGACCCGTATTCCAACCACCAGTGCCCGTGCTTCGGGTCCTGTCCAGAAACAAGAAAAACTTTTGGGTTAAGTAAATTTAAGGATGAATAAACCATCACTCAATCCAACTTAAACGGATGAATTGAGTAAATTTAATTCATATATGGATATCTCAACAATTATTGTGGCATAATTAGATGCATTGAGATTGAAAAAAGGTCCGTCACTTAATATCTATTTATTCAATACCCACCTCCAACTTATGCGTATATGTTATTAACTTTTTGAAAGTAAAATAAACTTACCTTCCAAACCATTAAACCAATATCGAATTGTTTGCCATTATAAGAGGAGATGGGGGAGATTGCTGCTCCAATGGCGATCTTGTTGTTAGTTTGAACAAAGCCAGAGCAAAGTAGATTGTAACAGCCAGTGGCTTGATAAGCATCAGTCTAACAAAACAAACAAAAAATCATTAATCTATCCATTCTTCCATTTCCATGAAACCTTAAAAAACATGAAACTCACCGTCCAATACGTGAAGAACCTAGGATTGCTGTCGCCATACAGCTCAGGGCTAACCTGAACAAACATGAAACAAAAATGAAGATTGAAGGACAAGAATTTCAAGTGTCTAAATTCCTCGATATGTTCAGAAACTTGCCTGCCATCCAGCTTCAATGGTGTTTAAATCATTGCCAAAGGAGCCTGAAATGACCCATATTTGAGATAAGCTGAATTCGTATTGGTCGGTTACACGTGGTGCCCATATGTTTAAACTCGCCTTTGCTCCATAATATTGTTCTCCATTTACAAACACCACGGCATGCTGCAATTATTCAACATACTTCATTTATAACGATTTCGTAAAATTTGACTAAAAAAACGAAAAAAAATAAAACATATAAGTGAAAGTAGTTAAAACAGAGAAAAAATAATGGATGTTATCTAACATGGCGTAGATTTTCATGATTTGGGCTGGAAATTCAAATAAAAGCCACTTGAGATCAAGGTTGAGGAAGCAATTTCTCATGCATGGTATAGAAAAGTTTTAAAAAATTTCAAACTTTTTCTAATCTTTTTGTCAACAACCTAAAAAGATTTATAACAAAGATCGGTTATTCCTCCCTCAATTTAGTTTTGAGATAAAATCTGTATATCACATCCAATTAAAAAATAGATCCAATCAAAATCAATGAAAAAAAAACACGATTTTAAAGAAATATGTTAGAGAGATTTGTAATAAAAAGTCGAAGAGTGAAATTTTTTGCTGTGTGGAAAAATTCCGAATTCTAACCTCGTGGCCATTGCCTGATGAATCTCTCCTCACACGTCTAATGGGTTTTCTTCCAAATCTGCGAACAGAGCTTGCTCTAAGAATGTCGGTCTCTCTGGTTCTTCTTATCGGAATAGTTCCCTCCGGGCAGAATTCGCCAGAATCTGACCATAATTGGAAGCTCTCTGCCACACCTTCCGTCGAGTTGTTCCCTCTTGGCCTCTCCGGCGGCTCCTGTTCATCGGAAAACTTCTAATTTTATCCATCAAATCCATAAACAAACCAAAATATTTTGCCCCATTAAAAAAAATGGAAAGAAGATTCTGATTTGAATTGGTTACCAATGGGGTGTGTCCTTTGAGTTCAGGATGGTCAAAAGCAGGCTGGAGATGGGAAATCACACAGTCTATGACATCACCATCTGAGCTCTGCAGCAGAAGAATACAAACAAAAAACAACCCATATTCTTAAATTTTCAAAACAATTAAAAAAAACCCATGAAACAGGGAGAAAAACTAGAAGAATTACCCGAATTGTCTTGGTTGAAGGCTTGTTGATTTTGCGTAAATAAGCTCTGATGTGCTTTAGTTTCTGCAGCTCTTTGGCCGGGTGGAAAGTTTGGTTCTTGGGTGGCATGGAAGTTGAGAAAACGGAGGTGAGGGAAGTAAAAACCAGAAGAAAAACAACAAAACAAGAAGAAGAAGCCATTTGGTTGGAATGTTTCGGCGAAGTCGTTTGTTGTTTTACTGTAATGATATGGTGATTTGTAAGTATTGAGGTTGTCCCGTTGTGTGATGAAGGAAAAAAAAAGAACAAAAAAATCACACAGAAGAGTTCATTTCTCTCTGTTTTTCTTTCTCCTCTCTCTCTCTCTCCTCTGTATCCTTACAAAATAGAAATAGCCATTCTAACAAAAACCCAAACTTTGGTTTTGTTTTCTTCTTCTCTGCCTCACCATTCCCAACATACAATATAAAAACAATCTCTGTCTTCTCTCTCTATGAGGCTTTGGCTTTGGCTTTGGCTTCGGCTTTGGCATGAGTGTTTTAAAACAGACCCAGTTAACTTGACATGTACTTTTTCATATCAAGCAGTCAAAACTTCAAAGAAAAAAAAAGTGCTTCAAATTTCATTCTTTCAAAAGAAGAGAGAGAAGGAGAATGTAGAGAGAGAGAGAGATTCAAACTTAGTATACAGTACTGTTCTGCAGACAGTTAGGATTTGGGTGGAATGGCAACCACAGTTGGAAATTGGAATAATCTTTTGAATTCCAAGGGAAACTAAAGGGGAAAAACCACATTCAAACCTTAACTTGGAAATTCTGTTTTTCCCCATTTCCCAGAAAATTTTGTGTTTGTTTGTTTTTTATTTTTTCCTCTGTTTTTTCCCCTTTCTTTCCTACTCAGTTTAGTGAAGGTTTCTGGTTGTGTCAAGTGGTTTTAATTAATCAAACTCCAAACATGTCTCTCTGACATGTTTTTTCCTAAAACAACAGAAGAAATTAATCACCTTCGAGGCTACTATCTTATTACTTCAATTGCCCTTTTTTTAATGTTAAAAGTATATTGCAGGAAAAAAATTGGATAATTGTGTGGGATGAAGGCACAAATGGAACAAATAGACCTACTATAAAGACGTCAGGAACACTAACAAAAAAAGTCAACAACACGACTAAGCCAAACAAATGGTAAGAAAAAAAAACAACACATGATCGCAAGCAAACAAGACACAACATAACAAGTCATTTATAAAAATAAGTCTCAAGCAAATCCTATCAATAATCAGAAACTAGAATGAACCCGCGATTAACTTATTACTCCCACTTCAATTTCATCCACAGCTATGTCTGAAAATGATTGTGCTTTAAAATGCACACCTACACCAAGTGGCCAAACCATCCCATTTCTTATTGAATGCCCTTTTTTCTGCAGTTTCAGTACATTAATGTTGTGTCCTCTCTCATGGGCAACTGTAAAATTTGATGGATGGTGAAAATATTTTCAAGGGGGAAAAAACTCAGGTTGCTTTTTTTTGCAAAAAATTGAAGTGGAGTTTGATGCAGAGAACAACTCAAAATTGTGGTGGGTCATTTTCAATGATTATTTCCACACCAAGAAGGGGGTGGGAGGGTTGCTTTCTGCTCTGTGGAATTCTTTTTGACCATCAAAAATAGATCTTTTTTCTGTTTGATTATGCAAAATCATGTTACCCATTTGCTCACTTCCATTAATAACTGGAGAGATTTTACTTCCTACTGTAAGCAATTCACTTTTTACCATCAAAACAGATCTGTATCCTAAATCTATTTTACCCCATGTGCTCATTTCAACCAAGAAATCAGTTAAAGATCTTTGTTCTAAAAATAGAATGATCATCATCCTAAATAAATGCTAAATCATGTCTTCAATTTGCCCAATTTTCACAGAACATACAGTAAAATGTTTGTTTGCAGTGTAAACCAAAGAGAGATGATTTTGTAGGTCCACCTGCATTTTTCTCATTATGGTTGGCCATTGGATGTCATGATCATCTCTGCAATTTTTTTCTTTTTTTGTTTGAACAAATGTATCAAAACACAATCTGAGCCAAAAATTTCACATCACTTCTAAATCAACCCAAATTGAAAAATCTTCCATTTTGTTACTGTCACATCTTGATTCAAGCAATGATTACATTTTTGTTTTTGGGTATAAATATTAACAAGTAAATTTTGACAAAAAGATGAAAGAGTAATGTTGAAGCTCATGGTAAACTTTGCTTGTAAGAGTCCCAAACCAAGAGAAATGCATAATGGAATATGTAAAAGCTTAAAAATTCCCTATCTTGATCAGTAAATTGGAAGAGATCTTATTCAAAGCAAAACTTAACTTTAGGGATGGCACAAGTGAAGTTGACAAGTGGAATTTTGCTTTTTAATCTCATGGGCATGAGGAAAAAGAATCCAATTTTCACTATAAAACATGTGAGTACCCATATGTTTGTACATTATGATGATACAAACAGTACTTCTCTCAATTTTGGCCCTTCATTTCTGCCATCCATATTTTCCATTCCTCTGCAACTATGAAATCTATTTTCCCTTTTCCTTCTCTTCTGACATTTCAACCTTACGGGCGCGGTTAAAGTCTAACGCTTTTAATGAGAAAGATCTTAAATTTATAAGGTTGAATAAAGTCGAGGATAACAAATCTGAGTCTTCCTAGTTTTAAATTTGGTTTCTACCCAAGAAACATAAAACCTTCTCAAACAAAAATTCATCGGGTCTCCCCTCAAATAATCATCTATCAGGACACATTGAAGGTTTTCTCTTATCCAAGTCAAGTTTTCTTGATCAAACCATAAATATCATAATATTGATGGTAAAAAACTTTCATTTCTATCATAGGAATACGTAAAAAATAACTGAGAAATTAAAAAAAAATAACAACAATAAAGAAAACAACTTCGACTTATCTCCAGTCTAAGTTAAACTATTTACCACACCCATCATCTGAATTTAAAATGAAAAGCTACAAGAATGCACTCAGTAGGCATGCATTCTGCCACACAAATTTTGGAAAGAAAAATGGCTAAAATCCATCTTCATCTTTAAACCCAAGTACCATTTGTTATAAAAAGTAATGATGCCCCATGAAGAGTGGCTTGGCACTAGCATAGGAACAAAAGAGAATGGACATTACCCAAGTTTTCTTTTTGGGCTCTGGGAATTAGTGGTGCTCCATGCTTCCCACTTCCAAGAACTCCCCCTTTATTTGCTAGCTAGGATTTCTCTTTTCAGTTTTTAAATAATAATAAGAAAAATTCTCTCTTCTTTTCAGGCAGCCCCACTTACAAGTTACAACCTCAAAACACCTCAGCAACAGCAAAAAAAGAAAAAAAATATAAAGGACAAAGTGGAGGAATATTGGTCCACATTCATTCCACAGTGGGTCATTCTCATTACAACCAACAACCAACACACATAAAACAGCCTTGTCAAGTTCTTGCACTGTGAAACCATGCCTTGTTCCTAAAGTTGGTCTGAGTCAATGGATTCTAATCCCTCTATATCAAAAAGAATTATATTTAGATTCTTCAATGCCTTTTTATAACCTAAAGATTACCTTTTGAAAATAAAAACATACATGTCATGAAGCTTGTCAGTTCTGAGTATTAATCACACATTAAAGAAACAAAAAATTTGACTTTGGTTTTGGTAAAAGGCAACTTTCTATAATATGTATATATTAGAGTGAACTTGAAAGAGATAATGTGGAATTACACTTGTAAATCTTGGGAATAGTGGCTACAACTACAAGTGACTCCCAYGTGACCCATAAGTTTAAATTTTGGTTTTTTTAGTGATATCTTCAGAATAGAAATTTAATTCTCATAGCATCATTAGATAGTAATTAGCTTCAGAAAATGCATGGGTGGTGGATAAATGTTTGGTTCTAGGAGTAGAGTAGGGTATATTTGTATATATTCCTTTGGGATATTGAATGCAAGGAAGAAAAAAGAAAGAACAGCAAAAATAGAAAGTTTGTTAAGGATCCCACGTTGAAAATGATAGAATTTTATAAAGATTTATGATTGACATGGACAACTCMTTTTGTTGTTAATTGGTTTTGCGATGGAACCCCAGAAATATTAATATGGTATTGGAGTCTAAAAATGCTCAAACGAGCATCCGGTCCCAAAATGAWATTCAATCAAAATTGATGAGCCAAAAAAGCCGTAATTTTGAGGGAGCATGTTAAGGATCCCACATCGAAAATGATAGGGACCTTATAAAAGTTTATAGACATGGACTACTACTCTCATTCTCAGTTGGTTTTAAGATTGAACTTTTAATAAAGTAAACCGAACTTGTAAAGTGAAAACTTGTGTAGTGTACATATTCATTTTTTCAAGAGTCTATTTATGAGGCAGCACTACAAAGACATTCACACTTGGTAGCARAAGTGATGCTTGTTTCTAAAGCATGGAATGTAGTTTGTTTGAAAAGAGTGGCCACTTACAGAGAATGGTATTGGACTGTGATTGGTAATGGTGGCACCAAGCCTTTGAAGAAGTGTTTGAAGAAGATGGTGATGGGAGCTCTGATGATCCATCTGAATGTGGAGACCACATGATGCTATCTTTGCCATACAAAAACTGCAGCTCTTTTTGCAACCTTCTTTCAAAGAAAAAGCAAAAACTTCTGTGACTTTTCAAAAGTATGATTAGAAAATTTAGCATGGGAAGATTTTAAACAAATATGCATTGGAGAAGTCAAGTAAATTTGAAATCTTTCTGGCCATCCTCCTGGGCATCAAACCTTTTCTGTTAAAAGTTTCATGCTAAGGTAATATATATGCTTTGTTTTGATCTTTTAACATATCTATTTCCAAAGCTGGTCAAAAAGGTTCTCAGGCTGTAAATTAAAGTTTAAATGTATTAATGAATTAGAGTAACAAAGGGCTTAATTTATGTGCATATTGATAGTAAAGTTACTTTGCTGCTTACAATACTATATCGACGTATTAAATTTGTTCAGTTTGAAAATGTACGTTTTGCTTAAAGATATTATTGGCTAAATTACAAAAAGTACCTCCGAACTTTGTCATAATTTGTTTCAAAAATATCTCTATCGTTTCAAAAATACTATTTGAGCAAACATCAATTAATATTTTTAGCATAAAGTTGATATGACAGAATCTAGAACGACGCAGCAATTAACATGGACATTGACATAGCATACAAATCCCAATTTTTGTTTTTAAAAGTTATTTTCCTTCATTGTCAGTAGAGTTTGCTTTTCCATTGTCTACCAAATTTTGTCATAATTCCCCATTTTTAAAAACGATAGCTTCTTCCACATTTTCTCTCGTTTTAGACTTGATCTAGGCAAGTTTTTACGTTATCACCACGTTGTTCCAAATTCTACCATATCAATTTTTAGTTCAAAATATTAACATATGTTTGCTCCAATGTTATTTTTGAAACTTTTATAAAAAGTCAATGATAGCATTGAAACTTTTGAAAGAAAAGAGATATTTGTTTGAAACAAAAGGCAAAGTTGACAGGTATTTCACGTAATTTAGCCAACATTATTCTCAAAAGTTTTTCAAACTGAATGTGAAAATATTCTTGAGAGTAAGGCTTTTAAGCAAAATACAATTTTTCATTGCAGATTTGAAAAGGAAAATACCCAAAGACTAAATAAGCGTTTCTAACACAAACATATCCTAAAATCTGAATTCAGTTTCTTAACCCCACTCGAGTGCTGAAAGCACCATGCTCTTACTTTGGCCGCCCAAATTGACAAATTAAAGGATGCAACAAACAACAATCATGAACTAAAGGAAAATGAGCTTCTGACCACGGCTTAAAAGTAAAGGAAAATGCCCTCTTTTTCTTGTCCCTCAAGAGCTATGAAATTCAATTACACACCCATTTGAACAAAATACAACTTTACTCGAATATTTCTAAAGTTCTCCGACCCATAAATCAAGAAGAACTTGCTCTGAACTGCAAAAGTAAAGCATGTCTTGTGCAAAGAGCATAAATTCCAAGTTTTTGAATGATAAAAAGGTAGTAGGAATATGAATTGGATTCTCCATAGTGGTAGGCAAAGAATAAATTTCTTGTCAATCAGAAAAAAAGGAAGAAACTCTCTTTGAGCTATGTTCAAGCTGAAGAATAAGTAGATCACACCCCTCCATTTGTAATTTTCTAACAAAATAAACATGAATGTAAAATTTCCCTACTCTAATTTACATAAAAGTAATTTCTTCCTTTTGACGTATGTAGAAGATTTCTTGTCTGCCTGTCTGTGCTTCGTAATGTTTTATGCTTAAAGCAACTAGATGGTATGGTTTTTTTTTCCAATTTTCTAGAATCGATGTCGTGTGGCTTGTACTACTGGATCCTTGTAAACATAGCTCGTTTTTTGGACTGAACACTGTGACCAGTGCAATGTTCGAACTTGAGACTAGTTGTTGGTGCCACAAGGTCCGAAGCACTTGCCACTACACCATTCCAAGGAACAGATGGGATGTGTTTCATCTTTCATGTTTGATTTCAACTTAGTTTGAGGCTAAAACTTAGGAGGGTTACAATGCCCAGGAAAATATATATATAACTCAGATGCATTGTGTAACACTCCCTTAGGCTCAAAAAAGTTCAATGGTTTTAAAATTCTTTAGGAATATTCTGTTTTAGCTCAAAAGCTATTCTGTTTTAGCTCAAAAGTTGAATTGTACTGTACTTCCTATGCCTATCATTCCTATCAATATTCATGGGTTCCATCTCAAAACCAATTGACAACGAGAGAAGTAACTCATGTCTATTATAAACCATTGTAAAATCCATTTCCTTTTCAATATGAGATCCCTAACACTTCTAGATAGAATCGTTATGAAAACGTGTGTCTAACCACAAATTTTCACTCTAAATCTTCCTGATATTTCTCGAGAGATCTCCACTCGTGAAGAGGATCCACAGTTTATCTAGCAAGATAAGATCGATAATTGAAACTCCTGGTTATGTCACAAAAAAAATAATTGCAGCATGTAACATGCCATGAAAGATAGTGAAATTTGGTGCAGGTGCAGCATGGTTCACGTGAAGTGATCTTGTTCATGTTTCTTTCTGTAATATTGGCCTATCTATTGTGGGAGCAAGTGAAGTGTGATAAAATGTTCTCATAAAAAAGAGAATAATATATGATTAGGTAATTTATACCTGCTCTTTTCCAGTATAAATTTGTATGAGAAAATTATCTAAAAGCAAATTGAAATGTATTCTTGAACTTTCAAGTGATGAAAAGAAGTAGAGAAGGAATTTGAGAATTTTATTCTTGAAAAATCCACCATCTCTTCAGCATTCACGGTGGATTTTGTATCAAGGAAAGCATCCAATCCAAATCTCACTGAAGCTAAAAGAAAAAGAAAGAAAGCTGCCTTCACATTCTTACAAGTCACAGTTGATTCTTTTGCAAACAGTGCCTGAAAAGACTGATAATTTGACAATGATATTTCTTGTTTAAGCTTCTCAACATCCCCGCCACTGGCAGTCAGTCCATCACCAGAACCTGAATCAGGAAGTAGAGAAGAAAAATTAGGAGTTGAGTTAGTACTTATTAGCCAGTCATCAAGTTTCTCTCTTTTTCTTCATCATTTTTGTTATATTTCTTCTCTGCAACTGGATTTGGTCTGGGAAAAATGTCAATGAGGGAAACTTCAAGATTAGCTGAGGCCTCTATCAATGGTATTGTCCGGCGGATGGTTAATCTTCCCAGAAGCATAATGGGGGGATTTTCGAGAGTTATGAGCGGAGGAAGAAGAAACCATACTCTGCCATCCAGTTATCAATATCAGGTTCTGCAGGACCCACCAAATGTACCGGAAGAATGGTCTTTCCTAGCCAGTTTTCAGTACCAGTATGGCTCAATGCACCCTTTCTTTTATGCCTGTCGGTTTGTGGAAGCCATGAAGATAGCAGAAGATGATCACAAGTTTTTGTTCTTGTATCTGCATTCACCAGATCACCCTTTCACGCCCTCTTTCTGTGAGGAAACACTGCGTTCTGAGCTGGTAGTGCAGTTTCTTGATGCTAATTTCATCTGTTGGGGAGCACTTGCAAACAGAGGAGAGGGTCTACAGATGGCTACAACTTTGGGAGCTACCAGTTTCCCGTTCTGTGCAGTAATTGCTCCGGCTCCAGGTGAAAGCATAACAGTCCTGCAACAGGTAAGTTGGGTTTAAGTTCTAAACTTTCTGTTAAGATTAAATTTTCCACAATTAAGTTTCAGAAAAAAAGCTTGAAAGATGCTTAAGTTTGATTTTCTGCTTCATCTATAACTAGCTTGAAGGGCCACTTTGTCCAGCTGAGCTGGTGGAGATTCTACAGAGGACAATGGAGGAGCAGGGGTCAGCCTTTGGTAGCTCCAGACTTGAGCGAGAAGAGAAGATAAGAGCAGATCGCAGGCTTAGAGAAGAGCAAGACAGAGCATATCGTGCCGCTCTTCAAGAAGATAAGGTAGGTTCTTCTATGATATCCCAAATCAAATATTATAATCAACCTCTCTAAACTCAAAACTTGGGATTAAATCAATGCGGTTGCGCTGATCTAGGAAAAGGAAAGACTCAAAAATTTACCTCCGGTGTTACCGAAAAAAGCAAATGATGAGAGACTCAAGCAGAATTCTGTAAATAAACAGCAAGCGAGAGTGAAAGAACCTACTTCAACTCGTGAAACTCCAAAGAAGGATCCTGCAAGTATCGGAAAGGATCCTCACCCTAGCTCTCAGGTACAAACTACACAAAAACAGAATTTCAATCTAAGACTGTTCTAAAATTGAAAACTTAGTTAACACTTGATTCATCTTCCAGATACTAATAAGGTTCCCAAACGGTGAAAAGAGAGAGAAGAGCTTTTCAAGCATGGACAAGGTGAAATCGATTTACAATTACATCAATTCGCTCAGCCTGCCAGGTACTGAGAACTATAGATTGATAGCAAGCTTCCCAAGAAGAGTATATGGTATTGATGAGATGGATACAACTCTGAAAGATGCTGGCCTCCACCCGAGAGCAAGTCTGTTTCTGGAACGTCAGTGATGTCGTTTATTTTCATGGTCACCATGGCTTGCATAGATAAGATCTGCAATTTAAATTTTCCTGTTTGGCAACTATTTTGTTTGCGACATACAAGACTGATATGTTACGAAGAAAATGCAACAAGCAAATCTTATCGAATGTTTAGCTATGATATGTCAGGAAAACTGACATCACCCACAATAACCAATACATTGAATAGGTGTTAAGATTTGCAATAGGCCAACGCAGATCAAGAATTAATCCAAGTTTAAGTTCCCTGACTCCCGATTCATCTCTTATAAGAGAAGAGGGAAGAAAACGTACTGAGGAAGTGAAATTTGAAGTTTGAACAAGCATCAACAGATAATGAGCACACTAATAATAAAGCTAATTAACTACCAACACAAATGATTGTCCAAATACCAGGGGAAAATGAGAAAGGAAAACCAACTGTGAAAAAGAAGCTAAATCGTACTATACAAGAGAAAGATGGTTTACTATACTACAAATTGTTAACTGGTAATTTCTTTAGATTTACTATACTACTGCTTTCCTCATCAGGAATTAGTGCCTTCAATTAAGGTGAACTCCTTACTGGTGTTAGAGACAGAGAGTTGCATGAAGACACAACTGGTCAATCTCCCTTTTTCTCAGAAAGGGGAAGCATAATTAAAAATTTTGGATTCCCTATTGTTTCTATGAGGATTGATTCCATGATGAAACAGAGAAAAATGGGGTGATTGGAATTCCAATTAATCCTACATGTGAAACATAATCATATTCACCAAAATTTAACAACCATAGATTTTGGAGAAAAGAAAGTTGAAATCATAGCTCAGTGACTGTCAATGGGAAAAGGAAGTAGTCAGACACGGAACCAAGATTACATATATAAAAAGTTCAAATACAAAATTTTGCCCCTAATCAAAATTTGTGGCTCTGCCACTCAGACTTCAGAGTAGTGAAGGACCAAAACTCATGCTGGGTGAGAAGTGATCTCTTTCTTTGCGCTCTTCTAGCAGTAAATCCCAACTTTCTACCACCCAGAGTTGACAACTTAATGCAAAATATTATCACGAGTTGTTTACTAAGAATAGCAGCACTACTTATCAAGACATTATCTATCTCCCAAAGGGTTGGAGGTTCTTCTCCTTACCTCTTGCTGTAATCAAGAAATTAAAAAAAAAAAAAAATCATTTTCACATTTCACTTTCAAGGAATATAAAAGGAACATCCATTTTCCTGAATACGTTATCAAGATACATTTAAAATGCGTCTGTGAGCAAGAGAGGAAGAGAGAGTCAAACGTTGAACAGCAACCACAAGGGTGCCTCGAATTGATTAAAATCTTCACAAAAACACCCTATGCTTCCACCTTCCCGTGATATCTTCCGCGAAGTATTCTAACGGATGACACTTTCTCGCTCATCAATTAGTGCCAATGTTGCTACCGCTCTCTACGAATTGAGTAAAATTCAAACAGAAAAAAAAAAGGTGAAACTTAAAAGAAATGTAAATAGATGAAGAGAGCAAGATCGACGGACTTACTTGAAGTCGCAGTAACATGTAAAGTAAACACATGCTCCAGCTGGGAGGGACATGGTGCTGCGTAGGAGAGAGTTTTCGCCATCTGAGAGAGATTTGGACTTAATTTGAAATGGGCCTCTGCATGGTCGAAGGCTAATGGGTCTGTAATATCGTGAAGACTTCAGTACGGCCCAATCGGTGCTTTTGACTGATTGCATGTGGAAGACATGAAATTGCAAACAACTGCCAATTTGGGGGCCAGAGGGGAGACGAGAGATACAGAGTTCACAGAGCGAGGGAGGGTTCGAACGTGGAATGGAGGGTCCGAAATTATCAATCTTTCTCGTCAATCTCTTATGTTTTCTCAGTCTCTGCATCGCCATCGAGTCCCCCCAATACTCCGTTGTTCATTCAGAATCAGACTTCGAAATCAGATTCTACACAAAGTCCACATGGATGTCCGCTCCCGTCCAAGACCCATCCTTCCAGAAAGCCACTAAAATTTCCACAGGTAATTCCATCTCTTATTTCAAACCACTCAGCCCCAAAATTCGCTCCTCCCCATTGATTATTTCTTCATAAATGGCATCCGGGTAAACTTGGGAAAGAAGAAAGCATACCAAAAGGTTACTGAAAAGTGTGTTGATCATCTTCCTCTATCAAATTCTTGGGTGCTACTAACTCCAAACTACAATTCCTTCGATTGCAGACTGTTCCAGTACATCCAAGGTGCCAATCTGAATTGGTCACGAATCGCCATGACTGCTCCTGTTTTGACAAGCATTGTCCCTGGGGCTGGCCCCCTTCACTCGTCCTCTTATTTTGTTCAACTCTATCTGCCAGTTAAGTTTCAAGCTACACCACCTCTTCCCCTTCCTGAACTGGACCTAAAGCCCTTTGGTTGGGACGCTCATTGTGTTGCAGTTAGAAAGTTCTCTGGATTTGCAAGGGATGAGAAGGTCATAAAGGAGGCAGAGAAGCTTGCTACCAGCTTGAGTAGGTTCCCCTTGGCTAATTCCACCTCTGAAAGGGGCTATGCATATGCCATTGCCAGTACAACTCTCCTTTCCGGATGATTGGACGAGTTAATGAAGTCTGGGTCGACGTCGATGCAGCGGATTTGGATGGTTGTAAATCCAGTGTCATTGCTGCATTCTAAGTTTGCAGTGGTGCGGAAAAGAGAATCAAGTTTCACTTTGTGCATATAAAGTTTGCTGGACATGTACGTATTTCAATTTCGGTTACATGCTGCTTTGTATCTATGTAAACAAGTCTACTACATAAGATGGGAACTCTACGATTATAGGGTCCTGAAAACTTCAACAAAATTGGAACTTTCTCAATACTAATTACCATCTGTCTAAAGAATAAATCAAATGTCAATGACACTAACTAGACCACCTCTGAATCAGTTCGGCCTATGTTTTGTAAGGGCATAAGATGGCAAAGATGCCCCGGCCGCAGCTGCCTTCCTGCCTAACACAGGTAGTTTGATTTGATTGTAATAAACAATCAATAGAAGACACAGAAGTAACAAAAATACATATACAGGCTCAATTGTTCCCAAAGTTAACTTGTGATCCTCAGCTTTAGTTGTTATACTTGACCATAAGTATTCTCCCTCTGTCAAAGCGGCTCCTAGAGTCCAGGAGACATCTGGAGGACCAAAAATTACTTCTTTATCGCCAAGACAGAGAGCATCCTGGATGAGTGATGCCACATAAGGTAACTGGAAACAATATTGCCACAAACTACTTTGGTTTCCTGAAATACTTCTCATCATATCTGCTTGAGAAGTGGAGCATAACTCCAGACCTCTTTTCCATATGTTTGTCCAATTGGCTCTTGTTGACAGATCTAATGATTGATAGACTGCAAAGAATCCAGATAAAGCATGAAAACGTGTGGTGGGAATGGCCACAACTGTATTGTTACTGCCTGCAATTACAAAAGTGAACATGAAATGAGAATTTGAATTTGAATGTCGCAAATCTCTCCATTCAGAAAAAATAGACAAGTTAAAGTTTTGAGGTGTAAAATCACGTAAAAAATGGGCTAGTGGTCGACATTTCAAATGTTAAAAATGCCCTTTTAGAGTGGAAGTCCTTATAGATGGCCCTCAAAAGTGTAAATATCCTAACAACTATTGCAATTATGCTACTAATTTACAGGTATATAACAAGTAATTTTACCTTATTCCCAAGAATAATAAGAAAAAGGAAATATTTTCTGCCTAAGTATAAAAGCAGGAACATTATAAAGAGGATCAGCACCAGGTGAAACATGGTAGTACGTACCATTTGAAGATAACGGGCTAGCTAGACAATTAGCATCTATTTGCTCTGGCCAAGCTAAAGAGCTGGAATTGATTGCAACTGCCCTAGCAAGTCGTTTACACTGCTCCCAATTTGGATTCCCGACCAGGTAAAAAGGAAATCCAGTTTTGCGGATTTGATTGTTCAGACTTTCCTGTCCCGTGTTGTTATGACTTGAACAATTGTAGCATGTATAGTTTTGCTTAAAACTTGAACTAAGACAAGGATGTCTGAGCTCCCTAGTAGTCATGTTACTATTTCCAAGTTGCTGTGTTTGATTGAGCAAAATAAGGGTCCTATCAAATGCCTCATTCAAACCAAAAGCTGTCCATGAGAAAGCCAAAACCTGATGCTCTATGGACCCAACTTTTGATCTCATGAAATGCATTTCTTCCTTTTCGTCTCTCTTATGGTCTGATTCCATCACAACCTGCAATGAGGAACCTCCCAAATCAAGAATTCCCAACGTGCCTGACGACCTTGAACTGTTTCTAAAGCTCCCCATTTTGTAATTTAAAGCAAGCCAACCATAATAAGCTTCTTCTAAACCACTCAGCACTCTTATCCAACTTTTTCTATACATGAAATAATGTTCCTTTATAACAGCCTCAATATCTTCCAAAACCTGCTTGGCATCGTCATTTGTCAACCTCCTCAGTCCAGCAGTAGATAAAACAAAAATAGGAGTAACTGCATGTATTTCAACCGGTATCTCATGTTCTGCCCACTCAATCAATGGTTTCAAAGAAGCCCTTGCACCTGAAATATTGCCGACAAATTTATCTAATCCCGGCTGGGTTTGCATACAGTGGTAACTACAAGATTTCTTTCGGAGCGGACTTTTCGTTGAATTGTTAGGATAAGAACCCAATAAAACAGGCAAGTCGCTACCACTCTTAACCCCCAATGTCCATTCATAAACATTTACCCTTGTCCCTGTGCTTCCACAGTCCACAACCACAGTATAATAAGGCTTTTTTGGGGCATTAGAAACTCCTCGAGATTTAAATGCTAAAATTGCACCACGTGAAATCACAAATGTTACTACGACAATAACAGTTATATTTACTATCCATTTATGCTTAGTGAATCTCGATGGTGACGGCTTAAGTTTGGATGGCGACTTGAGATCCATGGTTAACATCAAGATGAAAGCATGCTTGAATATTTTCTGTCAAAATTTCCTTTCGGAAGAAAAACATCAACGACCTTAATAGTAGCTAAAACATAATGCCCGGATGACTGAATTGTTAGATCCAATGAGATCATTGAAGGAACACCAGATAAATCCTATTTACACCAAATCCCTGAATAGGGTTTATCCAATAGCATAACCTTACGAATGAAAATTAAATCTGATCGATCAAAAATCAAGCATATCTATTAAAATTATATACAGAAAAATCGCGATGGAATCTGCCTTGGTTGGACTTGGGATCACTGTTTCTCAAATACAAACCACCATAATTGCACATTTCTTCAACTTACTAATGGCGAGTCACTAATTTTGTAGAAAAATCTCAGAGTTCTGGAGAAATCGTTGATTTGGAGTTACCTGAAATTTAAGATAGATAGAACGGAACTTACTGGGACAATGATTTGGAACCCCATCAACACTATAGTCCGCCACTGCGTCTTTCCCTCTCTCGCGCCAAAACGAGTGATCGCAGAGAGAGTGGCTTTGCTCGTCGGACAATTCACCCGCGCAGCAGCGCCAGCGCCTCCGTCGATAATATACGTTTGTTTTTTTTGTTTTGTTTTGTTTTTTTTTTTTTTAATTTCTTTGTTGAGTAAACGATAATATACGAAATGTTGAACCACAAAAATGTTACTGTTATTTTAACCATTTTTAGTTTTCAAAACTAAATAGATTAAAATTGTATTTTATCCTTTCTTTAATAGATTTAAACAAATAAATATCATTTACCTCTTTCTTTTTAAAATTAGATATCATTTACTTCTTTTTTTTTTTTTTGAGAAGAATATCATTTACTTCTTAATTACGTTCCGTTACAAAAATATTATTTTTATTTTTTGAGTACCCAATAATGTTAATTGACATATTATAATAGAGTATTTATATAAAGAATATCACTTAAAATTAATGATCTTCCATGGTGCAAAATTAAAATAAATTTTATGTAAAAAATTAATAAACAAAATAAATTTAATATTTTAAATGTTTTTTTAAGTGACAAGTTGAGCTCTTTTTCTTTCTTTTGAATATAACATATGAAGTGATAATTTAAATTCAAAATCTTTAATTAGAGGTGGTGTCTTAACTTATTGAGTTTAGTTCAAATTGGTAATGATAGTTCGAACATAATTTAGTGAATAAAGCATCAATAATTTTTATTATGATTAAAATCTCTACTATCTATACATTTTTTTAATATAATAATTGTGGAGATGAAAAATTAAACTCCGACCTATAGGTTGGAGCAAGATATCTTAATTAATAACTATATTCATGTGGGGTTTCCAATTTCATAATTATTATATTATCAATAAATCTATTTTATCAAATTAAATATGTTAAAACCACACATATGATCAAAACGAATATAGTTTAGCACTAATTGTCATATATTTACAATTAAGATTAAGAGGGTGTGAGTTCAATTTCCCACCTCCACATATCATATTCTAAAAAAAACCATATAGAGGTTTATATAATGTTAATGAGACTTTATTTATCTTAATTAAATGTCAAATACATGTCACTTGCTTTGTTCATTTTTTCTATCCTTTTATTTTCATATGATAGTAATTCACCAATTTATACACTTTTTTATGTACTACCTCAATTTTTTTTTAATTAGAGAGAATTTTATATTAATTATATTTGTAAGAAATATGATTTATTTAAATTGTAATGTGAACAAGAAAATTAACACACATTCCCCATTTTAATAATTATCGAATAAAAGGGAAGAAAACACCCGCAAAATTTTATTTAAACAAGACAAAAAATAAATAAATAATAAGAACCCGCAAAAAGCCCAAATTTATAGATCGTGGCCCAACTCCTTCACTCAGTCCGGGTCTGGAGTTTGGACTCAGTTCGGTCAACCCAATTTCCGAAGCGGGTCATTCATTCCCAATTCGGGAAGAGCCATTAACGCTACCTTACCTTACCCTCTGGTTTTTTTGTGGCTTCCTTATCGTCTACAGTTGAGGTCTCTCGTAAACCTTTAATTCACCATTCCAGCTTCCCTCCACCGTTGCTCTCTTCCTATGCGTTTTCTATTTCCACAGCTTTGATTGTGGACCGGAAGGCTGTTGATTTTTTTGTTTTGTTCCTCTCTGCTGCCGGACTAGAAGGGCGCATGAATTCCGATTCAAAGGTTAGCTTGAGATTTGAGTTACCTTCTGTTATTCATGTTGGGCTTCAATCATCGAATTGGCGATTTTTGTTTCTCCCACTTTTGTTTCGGTTTCGTTCTTTGGTTGGGGGCTGGTTGTTGGTCATTTAGTTAATTTTTGTTTGGAAAGTGGAAAAATTTGATAAGGAAGCTAATATTTTAGCATATTGAAGTCCTATGCTATCCGGTTTTATGCTTTTTGGTTTGCATAAAATTGAGAATTTTGTCCTGGTGTATGCTGGAAATTAGATAGTTCTTTTATTGAACTCGAGGGGTTGGAGAAACAATTGAGGATAAGGTTGGTTGCTTTTTTTTTTTTTTTTTGCTCTAACTTTTCCTTCGGAAACTGGAAGCCCTAGCTTCTGCCTCTGAATGTTGCCCCTGCTCTGTGTTCACCCGACGTGAAAGTTCGCCTTTGCGTTTCTTCCTGACAGTGCACGAAGGTTTTGTTTAACAATACTTGATAGTTTTTTGTTAGATGCTTAACACGTAGTTGGCTTTATGCACTATCTAAGTTACTTGCTTCAGTGGGTATGTCCAGTAATAGTTAGTCATAATTATTCAACTCCCCCACCAATGATTGGTTTGGAATTTTGGAGATTGTGATTCCTTCCTTCTTCATTGTGAACTGGCTGTGTTCTTCATGTTGAATTTCAATCCTCGTACCAATACTGGGATACACTTTATGAATTTGAAATGAAAGTTATGTTTTATAAGATCTTATTTCTTTTTTAAGTTTATAACTAGGCGGAAAGATAGTCTATCCGTGTTCTCATGTCGTGTGTTAGAAATTCTGTCGTGTAATAAAATAATGACAGGTCTGCTTTCTCTTTGTTTGAATCAGGTGCATTGATTAAATGATTTGGTTGTTAAGGTCGAGAAGATGGCCTTAATCACCCATCATCCTCAGGTATTTGATAGATCATAAAGTAGACTCTTTAGTGTTTCAATTTCTTGAAAGTTGAAAGCATCTCAATTCTCCTTTTCCATGCCATGAACTTATGGATCTATTTCACGTTGTGTTTTAAAAATGGAGGACCTCCTCTTTTCTTTTTCAGTATGTAACTGTTTTCATTTATATAAAAAAAGTCAAATAAAAGAATAAAGGGAACTGTATTGCAGTATAACTAAGAAATTGGTATTTACAGGAAAAAACGACCCTTTTGTTAAGAATAAAAAGAAGTCTACGAATGATGATTTTAAAGAACCATAATTTTTTTTTTTCAAGTTATATGACATCAATTGGCTGAGAACTGCTGTTCTTGATGTTGACATGTTGTCTCCCGTATTCATCTGATTTTATACTGTCATTTCACTTTTCCTTAGTCGCTTGTGATCTTTATTGTGTATAACTTGCATATTCTGTAGGGTTCTTGTGGAGAATTTTCATCAAGATTGTCATCCTGGAATGGCTCTTTAAAGTTAAAACAGTATGTAACATCTGTTCGTACAGCTGGGAGAGCTGAACACTGTACATCATTAAGGAGCAATATTTGTTTAAGGTGAGGGCTTTGAAAATCTCTTCAGTTTTCTTTTGTATGGACATTGGTTTTTCCATTAGGCTTTTTGCTTGTATCAGTTATCTCTTTATTTATCCTGTTAGCCATTCACAAATTAGAGATTTAATAGTTCATTAAAGTTGAACCTCTAGCAATATTCATCATAGTTTAAAGACCATTAAATAGTCAAAAGGTGGTTGTACTCACTTTGTCAATCACCACTTTTGTGACATAAGTAGACATTTCCATGTTGCCAACTTTCTCTGTGTCATATTTTATTGGTTAGTCACTCTCACTTGATCATGTTGCTCGTTGCCTTTATAATTTGGATACGTTTGTGCTGAAAGTAGACAATTTCCTGTTCTTGTAATATTGAGATAATTTTTACCTTAGGTATTAAATTAAATTAACTCAGTCGTGTACCCCTCATGGTTGCCCTTGAAACTTCTCTGATGTACATGTGGATTCTTGTATCATCATAAAAAATGTTGTGTATCCTGGTCCCCCACACTCATGGAACTTATTTTCAGTGTAGGGACTCCTCGATTATGTGGACCAAGACCTAATCTCTTGAGAGTTTCGGCCTTCAAAAGCAGTGCTCGAATAGAAGATGACACAAGTGGAGGAAATGGATCTAAGATTCCCAACTACTCCATAAAGCTTAAAGATGGTGATTATTGTACAGAAACTCCAAAGGCAAATAATGTTCCACTTTGTTATGCCTCGGGAGCGAATGAGGATATTGCTCCATCCCCTGCAATTCACAAACTGTTCAAGAAATGGTTGGTATTGTTGCGCAGACAACCTGTAAGTCAGGATGTGGATGGGATTCTAGATGAACTGCCTTCGGCAGAGATGTCAGAAACTCAACAAGAGTCTAATAAAAAAGAAAGCAGTGAGATTTTTCGAGGGGTCTGGTTCCACTTTCTGGGCCTTAATGCAGCAGTGAAGATACCTCTGCTAATATTGTAAGTAGCTTTTACTCGTATAATGCGTATTCATGTAATATAAGGTCTTGATGTTATCTCATTGTTAACCCATGACTATTATGTTATATTAAGGACAAGTATGTTAGTGTCAATAGTATGAAAGTGTAAACGTGATCAGCCTGAGATTTTCATTTTTCTGAATAGGAAAAGAAAATCTCAGTCTCTTCACATTTACATTTTCAGACTAATCATTAATGATATTGCCATATTGGTATGCTTGACGTTAATATTAATTAGGAGTCTAGGACCAATGAATTATTGAATTATGATGAGGAGAATACACATCCTCGACATGCTTGACAAGACCATCTTCTCTTCCACCTGCAGTGCATCTGTCTCTTTTATATTTGTTTACAAATGCCCTTCTTTTTTCCAGTGTTCCTCTGTACATGGCGGTCAACATGTTCTATGGGGCTGAAGTTTCAAGAGAATTGACTCCTCTTTGGGTTTTGGGGCCCTTATTGACTGCCTTCTACATTAAGATGTTTCAGTGGTTGTGCTCACTTTATATCTTCAGCTTTAAGCAGACTGCTAGATTAATAAGGAACTCCCCCACTTACTACCAGACAGCACACCATTATATCATACAAGGGAAACTTAAAGAAGAGGTCGTAGCCCGTTTCTTGCAACCTATAATCGACATTAAGAATCTAGACTACAAAGAACTATCACAAAGAAAGCTCATAGAGTTAAGAGAGTGGGTTCTTGAGAAGTACATTGATTTTGTGGAATCAATCTGGCCATACTACTGCAGAACAATCAGGTTTTTAAAGAGAGCTAATCTCATTTAGACTATGGTTTGTATTTTGAGGCAAAGCTTCACCAAGAGCAAAGGCTGGCACCGGTTTCTTTCTCACACTACCTAAGAAGCTCGATTTGTTATTGAAGCATGGCTGGCCGACCACTTTTAATGTGGGTTTCTTGGTGTTTTATGAGCTAATGAAGGATCAGGACAACTTGAGTTGTCTGATTTTTGTGATTGTTGTGATGAGGATGTAATCTTTTTTTCTTGTCCTTTTAATTGGAAGAGGTCCCACATTATTTTGCATTTTTCCTGTTATAGTGATGTATGTGTAAGCATTGTCAATTTGAATGTTAACAATCTGTCTTTCGATATTATATTGTTTCATATTCATTCTGATGGACTGAAGCTCACAAGTCCCTCGGGCAGGAGTTGGCTAACAAATAAAAGGGCATGCAAACAGAACAAGGTCAAAGGCCAACTGATTCTAAAACAAATATGAGAAGTTTAGTGGTTGGTTGGCATATGCTTTGACTTGAGGACTTCTAATCCATTATGTAGATTTTGATTGGTTTAAATTCTTGGAACTTATGGTTTTAGTCAAATTCAAACATTTAAGAATATGTAGTTTCAATAATGCACCTTCTTCTTTGGCTGTATGCTCATCAATTATGGCCCTTTATCTACACTACTTGATATATTTTAGGTAAAGGAACTTTTTTCTTCCTTGACAGAACTCACTTTTCGTTCTTATACTTGTATGTATTGAAAAATTCATACCATTTTTTGGTTCAATCTATACCTACTTGACTTTGAAATAGCTATTGCTTGGTGGCGCTCCCTTTCAGATTAGTTGAAGAATAGTACATTGAATGAGGAGATGGTGTGGCAATCATTTTTTTGAAGATAAACTTTGTCCTTTCCTCCATGTAAATGTTCATGTCATTATTTGACTTTTGAATGCAAGGGAATGTCAATGGGTTTGTGACGAATCACCAGGTGTTCTCCACCTGCACATATTAGAAAAATGAATACCCATTTCTATTTACTTGTACAAATTGAAATCTACAATCCCAATATTAATGGGAACTTGTACTTGAACTTGAACTTGGTAGAGTTGCATAAGTATGAAGATATATTAGAAGATTTAGATGTTGAAGGTTGGAAGTTGTATCTGACTAAGTTTGTTCGTGCGCAGCACTTGAGGATGAGTTTGATCCTTGAGAAAAGGCAAAAGGTAGGTAATGAGCATATGGGCAACAAATGGTCCAGGTGAGCAAAAACTTGTGTTTCCTTGTCTGGGATTTCTGATAGTGACTTATAAACACATAACTCATTTTGACTAATGTTTCTTCCTCACTTCTCAAAACTTTGGAAACTAAGCAATGTAAGAAAAGAAACAATAAAAGTTTTATAGTGATGGTTCAACAAATACATTTCTGAATTGCCTATCAGAGAGGATAATCCCCATTATGGAGGGTAATATCTTGTCCTCTTCCGATTGGCTTCATTTCCAAAGGAATAATTTTTTTCTGAGGAAACTCTCTCTCTCCCTCCCTCCCTAATATTGTTTTATATTGCTCACTCCCACCAACCTCACATGGTGTCTCTGGCTCTGTGTTGTGGGTTTGAACAGGCCAGGACTATTGAAGCTTGCCCCTAATGTAAAAACAGTAGTAGTTTTGCTTCTCTGTTTTCTACCTGTATTTTATTTTGGTATTAGGTAGTTTTGGTTGACAGGAAAAAGATATTGATATTTAGACTTCAAACTCAGGATTACACAATATAGAAATTAGAGAAGTGCGTCCAATGCTCTCTCTCTTTCTCTCTCCACTGAATTATACACTATGAAGATAACTTTGCAACACGACAAGAAGCATGTTTGGGTCCCCATACTTTTATAGAAGTAACGATTTAATTCTTAGACTTTCATATGCAATGATTTAGTCCTAACGCTCTCTCTCTTTCTCTCTCCACTGAATTATACACTATGGAGATAGCTTTGCAATACGACAAGAAGCATGTTTAGGTCCTTGTACTTTTATAGAAGTAACGATTTAGTCCCTAGACTTTCATATGTAATGATTTTTTCTATGTTAGTTTATAATTTTTAACAAGTTAATTTTTGAACTTTAGTATATATTGATTTGGTCTATCTAGTTTGAAGTCTATAACAATTTAAATAAATATTGTTAAAAAGTATACAATCTTTCTGATCGATAAATTGTCAAGGCACCAACTATATTTTTAAATTACATGTGCTAAATCATTATATGTTAAAAATTGATGGTTCACATTGGCAAGATTTGTTATAGTTGGAACTAAATTGTTACGTACTAAAATTAAAATTCAAGGACTAAAATTACTAATTCATTTATGAAATTATAATGATGAAATGTGTTTTTTATCCTTTAGCCCTCCATTATCCATCTCTCTTAGAAAAATGGACAAATTGGTATTGATGAACCAGAGAGATATTTTAGTTAAAAGCCAACTATTGTAACATTCCTTTAAAAAGTCTGAATAGGATAATACAAAGAGAGTTGAAGAAAAGAACAACCCAAAGCTCAAAAGGTCCTAAAGGAAAGCCCATGCCTGTGTTTTACATCAAGCACAAGTGGGTCTGCCTTCTTACTTTTTCCATAGCTTTCAGCTATTCCCATCATGATATCTTATCTCTATATAGTTTCCCATCCAACCAAGCGACTATGTTTTCAGGAACTTCCTTTAAGGAAAACAAGAAACAAGAGTAAAAACTGACAAAGTTTTAGAAGAACTAGGAAAGGTTGTGAAAAAGGCAATTAGCTATAAAGAAAGGTGGTGGTTAAAAGTGCATTTACTTTTTCAAACTTCTTATTTCTGGACTTTCTTAAGCTGATTAAGCAGCCAAACTTGGCAGCACTATTTAAACTGCAACTCCCAATAAGAGCAAAAGGCCACAGATTCTATATTCTCTCCAACTCATCATCATCCTCTATCTTCCATTTTTCTTGCCTTCTTTATATACTCATAACAAGGTACTAGAGCTGGAATGCTCGTTTTTTCATGGCTTACATTCACGTGCTGCAGTTCCTTCTCTTTTTCTCCAGTCTTAGCATTCTCCTTGCCGTGGCTAGGGGACAGGATTCAACAGCTTCTGACTGGCTTCTGAAAATTAAATCAGAACTGGTTGATCCTGTTGGAATGCTTCAAAACTGGTCTCCAAGAGCTCATGTATGTAGCTGGCATGGCATCACGTGTTCGGATGACGAGTCCTATATTGTTAGTTTGAACCTTTCTGGGTCAGGATTATCAGGTTCCATGTGGAGTGAGCTATGGCATGTCACTTCACTTGAAATGTTAGATCTGTCTTCAAACTCCCTCTGTGGTTCCATTCCTTCTGAGTTTGGCCAGTTCTACAATCTAAAGATACTACTCTTGCATTCAAATAATCTGTCTGGTAAAATACCTGCTAATATCGGCCTTTTGAAGAACTTGCAAGTTCTCAGAATAGGTAACAACATGTTGTCAGGTGATATCACGCCATTTATTGGAAACTTGACTAATTTGCACATTTTGGGCCTCGGCTACTGTGATTTCAATGGAAGTATTCCGGTTGAGATTGGTAACTTGAAGAATTTGATATCTCTTGATTTGCAGCAGAACAGGCTCACTGGTTCTATTCCTGATAGCATTCGCGGGAACGAAGAGCTTCAGAACTTGGTGGCTTCGAATAATATGCTTGATGGCAACATTCCCGATTCACTAGGCTCATTAAGGTCGTTGAAAGTTTTGAACTTGGCCAACAATAGCCTTTCTGGATCAATTCCTGTTGCATTAGGTGGTCTTTCCAATTTGGTGTACTTGAACTTGCTTGGAAATAGGTTGAATGGAGAAGTCCCTTCTGAGATGAACCAGTTGGTTCTCCTCGAGGAGGTAGACTTGTCAAGAAACAACCTCTCTGGAACCATAAGCCTACTGAATACTCGGCTGAATAATCTTCAAACTCTGGTCTTATCAGATAATGCTTTTACAGGAAACATGCCAAACAGTTTCTGCTTCAAAAGTTCAAATCTTCAACAAATATTTCTAGCCAGAAACAAGCTCTCTGGCAACTTCCCACTGGAGTTGCTCAACTGTTCCTCACTACAACAGTTGGATCTTTCTGATAACGGATTCAAAGGAGATCTCCCATCCGCTTTGGACGAGCTTAAGAATCTAACAGATCTTGTGCTCAACAACAACAGCTTCACTGGATCTATACCTCCTGAAATTGGAAACATGAGCAACTTGGAGGGCCTGTATCTGTTTGCAAACAAACTTACAGGAACTCTTCCAAAGGAGATAGGGAAGTTACAGAAGTTGAGTGTCATTTACCTCTATGATAACCAGATGTCGGGAAGAATACTGGACGAGCTTACAAACTGCACGAGCTTGACAGAGATCGATTTCTTCGGTAATCATTTTATAGGGTCCATTCCTGATAATATTGGAAACCTAAAGGACTTGGTTGTGCTTCACCTAAGGCAGAACTTCTTGTGGGGTCCCATCCCATCAAGTTTGGGCTACTGCAAAAGCCTCAAGTTGTTGGCTTTGGCTGATAACAATCTCTCAGGATCTTTGCCTTCCTCTTTGGGGCTCCTTTCAGAATTGAGCACCATCACTCTTTATAACAACTCTTTTGAAGGCCCTCTCCCTGCATCATTCACCATTCTCAAAAGCCTAAAGATAATAAACTTCTCCCACAACAGGTTTAATGGAACCGTCTTTCCTCTAACTGGCTCAGATTCTTTAACTGCATTGGATTTGACAAACAACAGCTTTTCAGGTCCTATTCCTTCCAGATTGTCCAACTCCAGAAACTTGAGGCGCCTCCGCCTCGCACACAATAGACTCACCGGTTATATTCCTTCCGAATTTGGCCAATTGGAAGAGCTAAACTTTCTCGATCTATCACACAACAATCTCACAGGAGAAGTGCCACCTCAACTATTCAACTGTAGAAAGCTTGAGCACTTTTTGCTAAATAACAACAGATTGACAGGAACTATCACTCCACTGATGGGAAACTTACAAGCACTTGGTGAGCTAGATTTCTCATCCAATAACTTCTATGGAGAAATACCTGCAGAAATTGGAAGCAGTTCCAAACTACTTAAGCTCTCTCTCCACAGCAACAACTTATCAGGAATAATCCCACTGGAGATTGGAAATCTCAACTCCCTCTATGTACTTAACCTCCAAAGAAACAACCTTTCAGGCTCCATCCCACCAACAATCCAGAAGTGCAGCAAACTGTATGAGCTGAGACTGTCGGAAAACTTCTTGACAGGTAATATTCCCCAAGAACTTGGAGGCCTGAGTGAATTACAAGTAGCACTGGATTTAAGTGAAAACCGTTTATCCGGTGAAATCCCGTCATCCATTGGAAATCTATTGAAGCTGGAGAGACTGGACCTCTCTTCAAATAAGCTCATGGGGGAAATCCCTTCTTCACTAGAAAAACTAACAAGCATACATATCCTGAACCTGTCAGATAATCAACTTCAAGGTCCAATTCCTTCAATATTTTCAGGTTTTCCATTGAGCTCCTTCAAGGGAAATGATAGACTCTGTGGCCCACCATTGTTATCATGTACAGAGTCAGCTGGAAAAGAAACGAGTAGATTGTCCAAGGCTGAAGTGACAGGCATTATTGTGGCTATTGTGTTTACCTCCATGGTTATATGCCTGATAATGCTGTATATTATGCTGAGAATGTGGTGCAACTGGAGAAAAGTTTCTGTGTCGAACTCTGATGGAGGTGGGATTGAACATGGAAGAGAAGAGGAGAAATGGGTTTACAGAAATGACAAGAATATTGGTGAATACTGGAAAGTTGATTCCGTGGCATTGGTTCCTTCTAAGGGTAAGCCATCTTCAGCGACTAAGTGTGTTTTTCAACTCAAGATGGACTCGGACTCCATGTAAGGCAAAGATACAGAGGTGTTTTCTTTTGGGTCACTCCAAGTTCTCATTGTTTGTTTTCCCTTTGAATTGTAAATGTGTTTATAGAGCTCTCATCTGAAACCCCAAAGCTTTCTGAGCTTATTCATTACCAATAGAATAGACAATAACATCGAGGATATGATGACGCCTTTTGAAAAGTAAAAAGGAGAAAGTAGAGGGAAATTAACACTTTACATTCAATATTCAAATTAGTTTCATTTTAAAACTGAAGTACTCCTTTATATTCAGAATTACTTTACCATCTTCTTCTTCTACTTCTTTTCATGTTCCATTTCAACTTTTTTTCACTTTAGTTTTTCAGACAAGTTCTCTTACAAGCTAAGATTTTCTTTTTAATCATTATTAACAATCTTCTTGTTTTGGGTACTGGGTTGGAAGAGTATGGCACACTTCCACTTTCATAATCTTCATTGCAAGCAAGCGTTTTTAGTTTACAGAGACCAGAAATGGAAAAGAATTTGGTGCAAATCTTCTTCCATTCTGCTCTGGTCTTGCAAAAGCATACTCATCAGTCTACCCACATACCATATTCCAAAAATGAGTGCAATAGAAGTCTGGCCGAGTATCAGACATCCTATTTCACTGCAGTTTCAAGACCCAAAATAAATTGCAACTAAAACCAAAAATGAGATCTATTGTGAGCTGAGTATCAGCAATCTTTGGAGTGAGGTGTTCATCAAGGAGAAAATACGACTTCCATGAAGGCATGGTAGGACGTCGCCTATTCCACGGATGATATCAAACCTCTGCTTCCAAGGCTTGTGCCCTGAACTCATGAAGCAAAAGCTGCATTAGAATTTCTGTTTTTGTTTTTTTTTTCTCCTTTTGTTTTTCCTTCAGAATCAAATTTTAGTTGCACATTACTATGCTTCCAGTCAAAACAAATCCAGAGTTCAATGAGACATAAGATTTGAAGCCAGTAGCGTCCAGAAGATTATTATGTATTAACTTGTACCAGGGCATCACAGTCTGAGGAAGAAGGCAGAAGAAGCTTCCTATTAAAAAGTAAAATTTTTAACATTGCTTTGAATGATAGTTTTCACCAAAAGAATTCATCACCATTTTTGGTCAACTTCCTCAACACCTCGAACGACAAGGTGGTTTTTTTAAGCCTTCATACTGGAAATTCAATCCAGAGTTGTCTATGATTATTGTGCACTAAAAGCATAATGAAAATAAGACATAATCAGAACATGGAAGCCAAGTTAAAGAAAGTGTTGACAAGGCAAAGGCAAGGCAAGTACAGCTCAATCTCATTGAACTTCACCTTCTTTCCTCGTCGATAACTTTGTAGCCTCAACGAGCACCGGAGAAGGCGAGAAGCAACAAGACATTGATAACAAGCTAATATGAAAGTAAATGATCTGGACTTCGTTTCCCCTTTCCTAATATAGCCACGGTTCAATCTGAACACCTTTACCGCATAGAGTATGCAAACCAGTGTTTTCGAGGCACAAGGCACACCTCAAGACGACAAGCCCTTTGATCGCCTTGAGGCGAGAGGCAATACAAAGGCGACGTCCAAGTGAAGCAAAGCACACCTTAATAAATAAATAAAAATTATATATATAGTGCATAAATTTATATAGTAAACATAGTTTAAAAAATCAAAACCAAAATAGTGTCATAGTAAATGTCAACAAGATACATAAAACAACCAAATTCAATAAGTTTAGTCGGAGACGGGAGCAGCAACGGCGATGGTAGGAGACGGGAGCGACGACGGCGATGGTGATGGTCGAAGACGAGAGCAAGCGATGGCCGGAGATTGAGGGTGGTGAAGGTGAATGTCGAGAGGCAGAGAGAATGGTTAGGGTTTGTGGACTGAGGTATTTTGCAAGGGAGAAAGGTTCTTGTAAAAAAACACACACATATTAAAGATTAAAATAAATAAATAAAACAAGGCAGATCGCCTTGCTTCAACGACGCGATTGCCTGGCCTCAGGCGAGAGGCGCACAAAGGCGTGTCGAGGCGCACTGAGACGAGCGTCCAATTGAAGGCGCTCGCCTGGGCACCTTGCAAGGTGCACCTGGGCGAAATCGACTCGCCTCTCGCCTGAGGCAAGCGCTCGAGTGCACCTCAATAACACTGATGCAAACTACCTCTTTTGGTTCAACAACCAGCACCTCAGATCATCAATGCCATTAATTTTCTGATACTACTATAGCATTTTGAAGTTAATTCATGACCCCAAGATGGTATTCCCCCCCTTCCCTTGTGACACTGTCTTCCTACTTCATTGACCAAATATCCTGACATTTATATGGTACAATCCACATTTTCTCGCATTGATGGCATTAATGTTTTTCATACTCATTCTGAATTTGGTCCCTTTATACCACGTTCGCTTCGCATATCGAGTAAGAGGAAATAGGTACTATGAGAGTATTAAAAATTCATTGATGGCAAATTTTAACTCAACAAGGACCAAGGGGGCAGATGTCATACTTAAAAACAATATTGAACTCCTGTAATCCTTGGTTTATTCTATATTCTTTGCAGTCTCGGTTGATTTTCTTCTCTCTTCTATCTTGTAAACAAGCATATCTTTTATAAGAAAAAAGTCAGATTTTTTCCAACACGCTCCCTCAAATTTCTCATACCCACATCTCGTCTACTTCCAATGTCAACTTTTTCTTATCTTCTTTGTCGCCTTCCCTTGGCCTGATGTCAATATTCCCACATTTCTCTTCCAACATTGACACATGAGGCTGTGCTTCCATTTTCAAGGTCTTTATCCAAAGGCCAGCCCCAGCCAAACTAATAGAGAGCAAGAAGATAATGAATCAGAGGCTCTGCTTCGAGAGAGATTGAGGAGATAATGAAGCAGAGGTTGTCCGTTCGTTTCCAAGGCAGGACAAACAATGCCAATTGCCAACTATATTGCAAGATTATTCATCAAGAAGACAAGGGTTTTTTCACGCACCTGAAAATGGGCCCAAAAACAAGGAGGAGCTCAGCAGACCCAACTTCGAAATCTCTCTCTCTGCTAATTGAATGCGTTCCTATTTTGCAATTAATGGCGGAGTCATGTCGCTGCTCGCAGTTGCAAATGGGCCAGACACCCCAAATTTGCCGTTTTATTCAAAATGGGAACTCAGAATTCAGAAGACAAGCTCTAACGATCCTTTCAAAATTCAAACAGCTCCATATCATGGCTTCTTTCGGTTCTTAAAACCCAACAAAAAGTTCCAGCTACTTGACTGACTTCTTCTGTAGGATCTTCCGTGGACTCCCTCCGTTCTATGAAAATAGTAAAAAACTTTGAAATCAAACAAGACTTTGGAATTTGCTATGTCCAACAACACTCATCGCGCTGAAACTGAAACATGGGTATTTAACTATTGCTTTCTTTCGGCTCTTTCCCATGGGGCAAAAGATCCGCAAGTATATGTCTATTGATTAACTAAAATTTATAATCTAAAAAAAGAAACTTTTTGTTTAATAATCTTTTTATTCTTTCGAATTACTTCTGTGAAGATATTTGATCGAGAAAAGGAAACAGGGTGACCCCAGCAACAGCATGACCCGGTAGTATAGAGCCCCCTGAACGACTATTTAGGCTAAAAAACGATGGTGCTTCTTTCACTGTCTTGGTTTTTGTCCATTTTTCATTTAAAAAACTCTCTCCCTCTCTCTCTCTCTCTCTCTCTCTCTCTCTCTAAATACTTATCTTGTAGGCTGCATGTCACTTGGCAGTCTTGTTCACTATCTCTTTAACCGAGCCTTCATGAACCACTAAATTAGCCTCTTCAATATCTCTGTCAGTTTTTGTAAGACCATTTACTGTTTCCTTGTTAACTCTCTCCATTTCCTTTCCTAAGCTCCATTTTCAGTTCCATTTTCATTTTCACCAACATTTCTTCCACAGCATTATCTGCTCTGAAAGCTCAACCTCTTAACTCAACTCCAAAATGTCATTCTTGTGCCAATTGATTTCTGACCTCACGTCTCAGACTGCAAACTTCGTACTTTTCTGAAAAATGGGTCTTCTTAAAGCTGCACTCCTGGTTTGTCTTTGTTGGGTTTTCTCTCTTTTGYGGTTTGGAGCTCGCTGCCATGGTTCAGAGGTCACTGTGAAGTTCTTGAAGGCCCCTAATGCTTTCTCACGATCAAAGTCGGCCACTTTTGTGTTTGAAATTTTAGTGAACGGACTCACTGATAGTTGCAAGGACTGTAACATCAGTTGCTCGGTACCTTCAACTCTTTCAGTTCTTTCAGCTCGCCTTTTTTGCTTTCTTGTTGTCTTCATCTGCTCCCTCTCTCTAAGTGGAATATAAATTTGACTTATTTCTTTTTCTTCTAGTGTTACATAATCCTTCAAAGATTTGGTATGATTTTGATCATGGATGTTAAAGCCTTTTGTTCTTTTGATGTTTTTGGTTATGATGGACCCATTTAATGGAATCACTCTAGCTGCTTGAGAATAATAAGGGGAATTTCAGAATTTGACTCCCATTTACCAAGAATTAGTCACTGGATTATTTGAGCTTCAAAACAGAAGATTCTGATCTAGATTTGTTGAAATTGGCAAATGTGGTTCTCTTCATGTTTATCTTCACTTTTTAGTGTACTTCTTTAATTGATAGTAAACTCTAAGTGTGTATCTCTACTTCTTTCTTGCAGCTGGATAACAGCCACCCTTTAGATTGTAATGACAGGAAGATTTTCTATTCAGAATTGGAGGATGGAGAGCATAAATTCAAGGTCTGCACTAATTTGTCTAAGGGAGTTGGCTGTTCTAGCTACAACTGGACTGTTGGTAAGAAATAAGAATCCCCACTATTTTTCACAGTCATTACAGTACTTGGATAATCAGCCACTTAGCTTCACATTAGAAGATAGGAATTGGTCAAAATCTCATTAAGGAAATATAAATGGTCACCATAATGTTCTGTTTCAGCACAGATAATCAGTTGCATCAATGGAAGAACTGTAAATTCTATCAATTTCTTTTTCATACAAGCATGTGCCATTAGCTACTATGTGATTCAAATTAATCTTCTGCCAATAGTGAAACTGGACTTACCCTTTATAAAGATTTCAACTATTGTAACTCTATGCTTCATAAATGTTGCCTATTTTGTCTCAAAACAACATGTTCCATCTTCTTAAGAATGAATAAACCACCACTCAACCCAAAAGCTTAAGCTGATGAGTTGGGTAAATTTAATTCATTTATATGGATTCTAATACTCCCCCTCACTTGTGGGCTTGGAAAATTACATCAAGAMCCAACAAGTGGAAATTATAATAAATGGGGAGGAACAACAACGCAGGGGTTCGAACACAGGACCTCCCGCTCTGATACCATCTTAAGAATGAATAAACCACCACTCAACCCAAAAGTTTAAACTGATGGGTTGGGTAAATTTAATTCATTTATATGGATTCTAATACATCTAAAGTTGAAATTTGTATATATTGCATCCTCAGTCACTACATTGGCAAACTGAAAGAAAAATGTTAGTATTCTCCCAAGAAATTTGCCAATTTCTTTCCTGTTCACTATTTTGCAGATACAGTTCCCCCCACAGCATCTATTATGGCCTCGACAACATTTACGAATGCTTTAAATGTTTCTGTAAATATTTCTTTCTCTGAACCTTGTACTGGTGGTGGAGGTTTCGGATGTTCATCTGCACAGGCCTGCAACGTGAGTAGGTGGCTGCTTATGTTTTTGTATCGTTTATGATATCGCCATGCAGTTTCTTGGTCTTGATCTTTTTCTTTAACGTCCTTATATTGGATCATTAACTAATATTACATCTCATGAATTATGCAAAACTCAGAATGTTGAAGCAAAGAAATCTAAAAGTAAAAATGTTATAATTATATTATCTGTTTTTTCTGGCAAGAAAGATTTTTGTTAGAAGGAAAAATGTAGAAGTCTAATATAAAAGTATTCTTTGCAGCTACTGGTGTATGGTGGAGGACATGTTCTACCATCATCTTTCAAAATTCTTCAGCCCAACCTCAAATATTCTCTTTCTGTGGCCTTGCCATCTACTACTCAATTTGGAAGAATCGTATTAGTGATGGACAAGAATTTCTGTACTGATAGTGCAGGAAATATTTTCACAAGAACAGAAAAGTCAATTTCTTATGTGCATTTTGGTAAGCTTCCTGAACAATCATTATATCCCATCTTGTAATCCGTTGTAATTGTAATACAAACTTCTGAACTTGCCAGATAGAAGAAAAGAACTTGCCAGCCTAAGAACTCGCGTTCCGGAAAGGCTACTCGAGCTCAACAGTGAAACCAGACTGGTACAAGCAACAAACAAACACGATAACTTGAAGGTGTTTTTATACTTTTCAGAACCAGTTCTTAACTCATCTGTGGAGGTTTTGAATTCTCTTGAAGTAAGCGAAGGCACGCTTCTTCCAATAAGCGGAAGGAGTCTTGGAAATCGCAGATTCAGTTTTTTGGTGAGTGTTTTATCTATAGTATATGTTTTTGTCTCCATTTTCTTATGTTAATATGTCATCATTATTTTCTTTGTGCTTCTTGATATTCAAATTCAGTTCCTTTTTCAGGTTACAAATGTTTCTGGAATTGCAATAATCACCGTGAGCCTCAAGCCTAACTCTATTATAAGCAGACAAGGAAATCCTGTTGCACCACTTTCACCAGTTACTTTCCTTTATGGTAAATAATACTTATAGTCAAGGAAGTTATTAGCAGAACTTCTAACTTCACTATGGCAGTAATTAATATTCTATTCTCCTTATAAATAAACTTATGAACTTCACAAGTCTCAGAATTTTAGAATTCAATACAAACTGTAAATTTCAGATTCTCTTAGGCCCACTGTGATGCTCGGTACAACTACTTATATGAGGACAAGAGAAAAAATATTTTGGGTCGTTGTAAATTTCATGAAGCCTATATTTGATTTCAACTCTTCCTGCGTATCGATCCGTGGAGGTCGTTTGCAGAGGCAAGTTAGTGTGTTTATATAGTTCACTTTTCCATGAAACCAGGTTGTCTGTGTTTCTTTTTCTTATAAACTCTTGCTATGACCCAGCTTCCACGAGATGGGCAGGAATATTTACTCTGTTGAAGTACAAGCTGAGGAGGAAGTCGTATCTGTCAGTGTCCCGGAAAATGTAACCGTCGATGTTGCTGGAAATCGCAATCTAGCATCAAATGTTCTTCAAGTGAGGCACTGTAAGGGCATTCAGATATTTGTCTGCATCATACTAATAAATTTCTTATCCTTACATTCATATACTTCAACTGTTACATGTAATTTGTGCTATGAACAAAATATGCAGATTCTATACCGACAATATCGTCTGTGGTTTCGACCTTTACAATTGCTTCATTTACGGCAACATCCCTTGCAGCAGGACTACTCACTGTATCAACAGCTAGCCTTCAATCAGAAGGAGTGTTCATGAGATCATCTTCTTCTCTGACATATAATCCTACAAGGAATATTTTCGTATGTAACTTTGAACCAGTTTCACTCTCGAATTACTTTCTTCTTTTCCATAACTTAAAATAGATACTTCATTTTGACCATGAGCACCAAAAATTTCTTAGAAATTCTCACTTCACCGTCTCGAATAGATGTTTGATCCAAACACCGACCACTTTGAAGTACCATCTCCTCAAGTTACTAACATACACATCTTTATACATACCCAAAACAGACTGATTCGATATAACATACTAAGAAGCTTCTCTTTCATGCAGAGAATTGCTTGCCACATTCAAATTTTCGCACTATCTATATGGTTGCCGGTATCACTGCCAGTTGAGTACTATGAATTTGCAAGGGGTTTGCAATGGAGTATCCCTTATTTTAGACTCCCATGGGAAAGAGAACGTGATCATCCTGACTTAAGTGGCTATAGCCCTTTGACTGGATCAAATCCTTATCTTGCCAAAACTCTTGATTCAAAGGTTCTTCAAAACAAGGTTCCAGGCAATAACTTCACCATGGTTGATCAGTTATACGGATTGCCCCTTACTCCAATGGAATACAGATCATTTTTCGAGGTAATAAGGGATTACGTATCTTCTACTGCTCCTACACCAATGGAAAACGAACTTTTTTGATATACAGATTATTTTTTATTTGCAGAGCCAAAATATCAAACCCCTAGCTGATAATATTTTTGAAGCAGGAAGTTGCAGTCTGTAAGTATTCCTCTTGTTTCGCTTTATCGTTATCAGAGTAATGCTCCATTCTTCTTGGTATGAATCAAAATGAATGGGAATGTGCTCAAATATAATAGTCTTTAGATTTTATATAGATAATAAAATCATTGTCATTGTTGGGAAATGTCTTCTCTATATATAAATACATTTTGTTTCTCTCTTGTTCACAAACTCAATTTCCTTACAAATGAGTGTTGGTTTTCTCCTTGCAGGTGGAAAGACTTCTATAGAAGCATGTTCTGGTTAGGAATTTTTGCTGGCAGTTTGATATTCCTCCATGCATTTTTCCTTTTTATTATGAAATGTCGAAAGAAAATATACGACACACAGGGCAGTTACGGAGCGCTTACCTTCCCTAGATTCGAGATATTCGTTACATTTGTTGCACTGCCCTCTATGTCTATGGCCTCGGGTGCTCTATTTAGAGGTAACTTTTGACATTCCTCTGCTTTAGTCAGCGGCTGTATTTACTCTATGTACTTACAGAAAGAGTGCGGTGTTAAAAGATTTTAACTTGTTTTGATCTTTATTTTGGTTGTTCAAGGAGGAACTCTTGCAGGAGTAATAGTTGGAGTTTTGCTGCTCGGTGTTCTGTCGCTTCTTTTGCTAGCCTTGCTGTTGTTTCTGTCAATCGGAATCACGTTCGGGAAACTACTTCAGTACAAAGAAGTTCATCAAGAAGGTCAAAAATTTCACTGGTATCAAGAACTCGTTCGTGTAACGTTAGGTCCCGGCAAGAGAAGTCAATGGACTTGGAAAAACCAGCCAAACTCAATTTACCTTATCATTTTTGGGCCAATGTATGAAGATCTGAGAGGCCCCCCAAAGTATATGCTGTCTCAGATTTCAGTAGCGAATCCCAACAAACATGGCGATCGCATTATCGCCTCGGATGATGAAACAGAAGATGCAGAAGCACCATTCATCCAGAAGCTGTTCGGCATCCTTCGTATATACTATACACTCCTCGAGTCTATCAGGCGAGTCAGTCTTGGAATCATGGCTGGTGCCTACAAGGAAACACTCTCTTCCAGAACTCCTATAGTTGCCTTATTATGCATCTCATCATTTCAGCTCTTTTTCCTTGTTCTCAAGAAGCCGTTTATCAAGAAGAAAGTTCAATTGGTTGAGATCGTCTCCAACACATGTGAAGTCGGTCTTTTCATTATTTGTGCTGTTCTCTTAGAGAGAGAATTCTCGATCGGGGATCAAACGAAACTCGGAATAACGATGCTGGTGCTGTTCCTTGTAGGCTACTGTCCACAGCTGATCAATGAATGGTATGCTTTGTACAAACAGGCAAAGCAGCTTGACTTTGCTGGCCAATCATTCATTTCAGGACTCAAAGTAGCTTTTGTTGGATTCCTCCTCCTGTTTCTCCCACAGAGATTCATTAAAAACTTGGAAAGTATATTTGCGGTGAACCTCAGCGGAGGCTCCGAAACCGCAGATAACTCGTCTGATAGGAACAGGTATAGCAGTCGGAGCTCGAGTAATGAGAAACCATGGTTGAAACAGCTTCGGAAGCTGGCGAAGGCAAGCTTCACTAAAGAGCAACCTGGGACTTCAACTGATCCTTCAGGCAGCGGTACACGATGGAGTGGATTTTGGGGACGGAGAAGTAGGAGCAGAAGCAGCAGAAGCTCCTCCATAAGTTCTTCAACTGATTTCAAGTCCAAATCCAAAGGCTTGTACAAGGAATTTGAAACCATTTTTTCATCCAGGTGAAACTAAAACACAAATGTATTGGTAATGGCATCATCTTCTTGAAGTTCATTCACTGTTTAGTTTATTATCCCATATAGTTGATCATTTAGGGAGGAGATTACAGACAATTGGGTTCCCATTTTATTTTTGGGTACAAAATTTATGTTCCTGTATGGCCGTGTATAAGAGCTTCAGATTTATTGTGCATTAAACTTAAAAATGAAATCCAAGATTCACCCAACAAAATACTTGCATTAAGATGGAAACTTGAAGCAATGAGATGTTGTCAATTGAACTGTGTCAAGATATCTTTAAATAATTAAATTTACCCCTAGTGTTCAAATTCATGTATTATCATTTTCTTACCATTTAATATTTTAGAAGTTATCACTTTTTTTAGTACGGGATGGAAATTCAATCTCACAATTTTTTTTATTACAGATAAGTGTCTTAACTCGTTTAACTAGGTTCATGGTGTGTTATATGAGTTCGTGAATCTCATTATGAAAATTTAAGTAAAAATAAAAACAGAAAGAAAATAAAATAAAGTTTGAATCGGTAGCAGTAATGTTTTAATGAATTACTGTGAAAATAGCAATAATTCTCAACTAAAAAAATGGCTATAATTACTAAATGATAAAAACATTTTTATGATAAAATAGTTTTTTTCTGAACTAATTCAACATAAATAATTTATTTCCTTATAGAATGAAGAAGATAATAAAAAAAAGGAAGAAAAGAGTTAATGTAGCTTCATAAATTTAAATGCGAAATTAAGAAAAAAAGAATCTACAATAAAATGCCAATCAGGAGCAACTCCACAAGAAAAGAAAAGAAAAAATCTGGTCCAGTGGAAATAAATTTGACAGGGCCAGGATGTAGAACTGCATTTCTGGACCCGACCGCACCTGATTCGCTCAAGCTCTTCGTTCAGCGCTGTTTCTAGTTCTTTTGGACTTCATTGTTCTTCTCCACTCCCAAAATCACACCCATTTCTGACTTCTTCATCCCAAAGAATCCTTCAACCTCTCACGTTTGATCAGATTAATCGCTATCATGGGATCGTGGTTCAGCTCCAACAAAAAGAGTAAAGAAGAGCTGGAGATGGCGCTCAACGAGGCCAAGAAGATAATCTCCTCTCACCCCGTTGTTGTTTTTAGGTCCTATCTCTACCCGAGAATACAATTTTCTAGTTTTACCAGAATTCCCAAATGTTTGATTCTCCCCACGATTTGCTTTTTCATCTCTAGGTTTGATTTAGCCGTACAAATTGTTGAGTGGTAAACTTTTTTACTCGGAATTATCTGAACTAATGGAGAGCTTAGCTGAGTTTCGTTCTAAATTGGACTTGGTGCTAAGAAAAATGGCTTAATTGTTATCGATAATGAAGATTGAAGAATGCTTGAAGTTCGGGAAGAATAAGATTATTCTTTTTATGATTCAGTAATTCTTTGTTTCACATTGCAGTAAGACTTATTGTGGGTTTTGCACGAGGGTCAAGCAACTGCTCACACAGCTTGGAGCTAGTTATAAGGTCATTGAATTGGACCAACAAAGTAAGTATACTTTGTGTCTGAGATTCTGCTACATATTTTTTCCATAAATGTTTGTTCTAGAGTGTTCTTTTACTAAATCATAACCTTGCTCTATCTTGAATTAGCTGAAAATTAAACTTGAAAAATGAAAGCTATCTTGCCTGCTTGGTTTGCTGGTTAGTTTGCAACTTGAAAATTGGAGTTCCCCGTTATATGGTTTCTCTTCTATTATGACTACAATTATGAGCCATCCTCGGCTAAACCAAACCCCCGGTGGTAGCCTAATCGAAGAAGTTGAGTTTGTTCCCAAGCCCACTTTTTTCTAAAATATCAACGTGGTCTCGAGGAGGTTTGTGACAGATGAGAGTGAAAATTTTAAAAGGGATTTGATTGCAAGTAATAATACCCTTAAACTTTATCTTATATGAGATCAGTATTCTTATATTATGTTTTTGGAATCATGTCACGTCAAAATTTTCATTAGTGTTAATTGAAAAGTTTGCTCAATTAAGCAACTATTTTTTAAAATTCGTAGTTTGAGGAGATAATCTAGCACCTAATATTGAGACAAGAGTAACTTTTGCAATTTAATTCTAAAAGAAATACAATGTGGGCTAGAAACTCCTAGTTGCTAGCCGCTAGGAGTCTGATCTAATCTCATGCTCAATACATTATCATTTATCAGTACTTTCTTCATTGTTTGAGTAAAATAATCAACGTTGACTACAGATTCTGGACGAATCAATTCACAATTCAAAAGATAAAACATGAAGTCTAAAATGAATGTTCTTCATTCACCTGGTTGAAATGATGGTTGTTTGCTTAATGTTCGGGTTACTAGGATCAGCTTCCATTGAATATTGATGACTATATTGTATAATTGCCCAATTACTAGTTCTTTGAGCTGCTTGTGACCGTTCTTCAAATGCTATATTGAGGGGTTCATCTATATGAAGGTGATGGAGATACAATCCAGTCGGCCTTAGAAGAGTGGACGGGCCAAAGCACAGTGCCTAATGTGTTCATCGGAGGAAAGCACATCGGTGGTTGCGATGGTAAGGCCAGCTGATTTCTCTGCAGGATGCCTAGCTAGTGTGTGCTTCTCCCAACTTTTACTCATCTTCTATATCCATTTTATGTCATTTCAGCGGTTACAGAGAAGCACAACAGAGGTCAGCTGGTGCCACTTCTTACTGATGCTGGTGCCATTGCCAATAACTCTGCTCAGCTGTGAACTTTGGTTAAACTGCTCCACAAGATAGAGTAATCAAGCAAATGTATGTTGGTGAATTTTAGGTGTACAGAAACACTTAGTGTGTTTTTAAGTGGCTGTTTGAATGATGTAAAATGTGAAAGCTGAAGAAATCTATGGTTACGGTTGAGTTCCTGCTTTGAAAAATATTTGCACCGTTATTGACTGTTTATTTGAATTCCAAATATTGTAAGGTCAAAGTTTCGCGATTGAGTTTGGGATAGTCTCTAAAGAAATTGTGATATTTGTATTCTTAGCTAACAATCTCATATTCATGTAAGTTAGATACTCGACATGTGCGTGCGTACATGGAAACTTGTAGTACATAAAGGCTTGGGGGACTTGTAATTCTCAGAAAGTGAATCCCGCTCTAGTAGTTCCGAATAATTTTAATTTTATATTATAATGATGTCTTTTCCCGATTAAAAGTTAAAAGTAATTTATATCATATACAATATTATAGTAAAGATTAAAAGATATGTAGCATATTCTGTTTGCAACGCTGCATCCTTGTACAAAAAGTTCTTTTAGTACAAAATATAAAACACGATCATACATATACTTTTTTCTTTTATTGGTAATGTAAACACAACACAACAATATTAAATTCCTCAAACTAAATGCCCAAACTTAAAATTTGAACACACACCCTTATTAAAAATATTAGAAAAGGATTCTCTACAAACTTCACCACAGTTGAGAGTTTGAGTTATTTTTCAGTCTTCTAGTGCTAGCTCGATTGATTTGAAACCTTAGTTCAAATCCTCTCGCCCTCAACTGTACCCTTGGTCAGAAAAAAAAAAAAGTGTGTATTTTCTTTGAATAGCTTATTTTTTGATTTGATCATTATAGGATGTCAGCTCAAGCTGTCGGATGAAGCTGATGGATGCCGGAAAATCAAAACCAGCTCTGTCTTCTTAAAATTACTCAACGGTTCAAGTTCAGTTCAAGTGCTCCTAGGCATATACTTCTTTTAGTTTCTGCAATCGTTCGAAGACTGGGAATGAGAAGACTTAGAGTACTACTACTGGCTACTAAAGAGATGGAAATTCAGAAATGGAGACTACCTACATTGGAGAGTTCTATCCATAAATCAAGTGTCTTCATGGCCTTTCCAGACTGTTGAGTTTCGCGAGCTAACTCGATTCCCTTGGCCAAGGTGGTCACTTTGCAGCTAACCAGAAGGGCTGCAGCGGCATTCAGGATCTGTATAGATAGTTTTGGTAATTCAGCATATTTTCAGCGTGTGCATATATAAAATACTTCATTACAGGATATACATACAAGTGCATCTGCAATATGCCCCTTTTCCCCAGATAACACACGCTTCATGACCTCTGCATTATACTCGGGGTCTCCACCTCGCAGGTCCTCTACCGTGCAGCGAGGGATGCCAAAATCCACTATTGCACAAATTTAAAAGACTTTCAGATGAAATTTTCTAGTTGATGATCACATACAATGATAAACTTAACATAGACATAGAAGATTATTACGTGGATCAAATGCAAACTTTTCAATCTTTTCGGGTGTTACATCTAGGATTAGTCCTGGTCCTGCATAACATATACTCAATAGTAAGATACGAGTTATATATAAAGCACCAAGATGGAGAGAGCGGTATATTTGACCATGAGTGTCTATAGAATCTGAAAAGCAAATCTCACCAAGGGGGCTCATCTCATCTAAACCCTCAGAGTGAACTACTAATGCTCTTTTCATGCCAAATAGTTGCAATGCTTTAGCCATTTTGGAGACCTGTCCATCCAAACAGTTTAATGAACAACATGCTCACAAATGAAGTTAGGAAGGATAGCCAACCACAAAATGATATTGCAAATATATACACCAAAAGCTTTTAACTGAATGCATCATAGAAATGGAAAACAACTCACAAGGGAACTACAAACTTCTTCAAAACAATGCTTCTAAGAGAAAAAAAAAAGTTGTTTTATTCCTTAATTAAATACAACTACACAACCCATTCAAATACAAAGTTGATGAATTAAATACAAATAAAATAAGATATGTCTGCAAGTTAATTGAAAGGTGTAATCTAAGCCTTACAGATCACATTTTCTGGAGTACATACAGTAGCATCGTTAAAATAGTAAAGCCATTAACTATTCTGCTGAAGATTGCATTTGTTAGAGCTGAATGACAATTGTTAGCTCACAATTCAAAAGTATGACTTTGACGGAAAACCAATTGCATTAACATCAATAAGACCATTCAGCAACACAGTACTCCATCAAATTAAGAATGCATAAATATGGGGAAGAATAAATGCACCCGCTTACCAATAGGGAGGGGAATGAAATTATAATTCAGGACTTTGCCCAGTGGGGCCAGAAAAAAACCTTACCAAGTTCTCAGAAAATACACCAACAACGGCATAAGGAACTCTAGCCGGATTAAGCATAGGGCCCAGTATGTTAAATGCAGTTTTTACTTTTAGCTTCTTCCTGACAGGACTGACAATCTTCATTGCAGGATGGTATTTGGGAGCCATCATGAAGCCAATTCCTGCTTCATCAACGCACCTTGCAACTCCCTGTTTCAAAAGATCAAGAACAACTTAATTATCGGCATGAATATAAACTATTTCCACAGAAAAACATGACACTTTTGGCTCTTCCATCCACACAGGTTAAGAAAAAAAGAAGGGCATCATGACTTGGAAATTCTCGCATGATTTTTTCATCACAGTTTATGCCCTGTTATATATGTTCACTTCTACAATGTCTTATGAGGCAACAGCCAAAAAGAATGCCTAAGAGAGTAATCACGGAATGAATATGATGACCCTGCTGACGGATGCATGTTTAGTAATCTTTTTTTTTTTTTTTGATAACCGAGGCTCGAACCTTTGTCTCCTACATCCAGGGATACCCACACCCATTCCAAGGACTGAACCCGAAAGACATTAAAGATTTTTAGTATTAAGACCCAAAAGTTTGAACTCTGGATCTCTAAGCCAGTACAACTAAGAGACCTCAAGCCCTTGCCAATGGAACTGTAACTTGGGGCATAATTTATTTTTTCCAATTTACAACCCCACTAAAATGATTTGGAAGTTTGGTGCATGTAATAGTGTATCAATATCAGTGAAGTACAGACTGTCAATTTATTGACATCATCTTGTGATGTCAACAATACCATGTTATAAGTAGAACCATCTATATAGCATAATCAACAAAGAAGAACCACATTGTACTAGTAAAAAGCTTAAAACAAAGTCAGTAAAGCACCAACCTCAGGTCCCAAATCAATAACTACCCCCAATGCCTCTAAGACATCAGCACTTCCACATGCAGAAGAACTCGAACGGTTTCCTTGCTGCAATATGACCATTTGATAACTGTTATCTCTACTTAGTGCGTATAATCTTTCAAATATGTTTTAAAAAATCATCACAAGTGCACCAAAACAATTTTATTCTCACCTTAGCAACCTTTGTGCCGCATGCTGCAGCAAGTATTGAAGCACCAGTTGAGATGTTTACTGTGTTTGCTCCATCACCACCTGTTCCAACAATGTCAACGGCATCAAATAAGCCATCCACCTTCACACTATGCTTGATCATCGCCCTCGCAAGTCCCACAATCTGCTTAATCATAAAAGTCCTTTCAAATAACTCCTCCTTTCATGTTTATCTCCATATTCAATCACTCATTAATGTTTCTACCATGCCTATTCTTAGTGACCTTTGATCATGCATTTAACATTCACAATAAAAGGGGAAAGCTTCGAACAAACCAAGTCTTCTTCTTTATTTTGAAAAAACAAAAACGATTACAGAAATTACTCTACTGTTCTTCCTAATTTGATTTTTAACTATATATTTATTCTTTGAAACAACGACTAACACAAACACAGAGTATATCGAATATGCAATGATTCGCAACGTCTTAACTAATTCTTTGGAACAATGACCAACACAAACTCAAAAAGTAGTTCAAATGACGGACTTACTTCTTCATAAGTCTCTCCTTTGGCCCTAAGCAACACAAGAAAAGCACTAATTGATGCCTCGTTGGCATCATTAAGAAGATACTCCAGAGACGCTTCGGCTTCATCCTCCGACAAATCCACGCGATTAATCAGAGATTCAATCAACTGTTTAAACCCAAAACAGACAACATAAACAAAAATCCCAAAAAGAAAAACACTCCCAAACGCAGAAAATCCAGGAAACGAAGATGAGGAAAAAACCAATTAACCCATCACATTACATACTTTACTAAATGAAGTGATTGGCGCGGTCGAATTTGCAACAGCTGCAGGTGACGCAGCACTGGGCACCGTTCTTGAAGCTAAAATCTCCGGTCCTGAGTTGAAAATCGGGGGTGGAAGGTGTAAATTCAAAGCTCGAAACCTGTTACTGCTTCGCCTTTCTTGAGTATTGAGACAATCGAAGGTGGTGAAACACTGTGGAGCTGCTTCAGGATGGGAAGTGAAAGTAAGTAAAGAAATCGGAGATGGGCAGAAGGAGAATGCCATTGTAATGAAGTCGAAACCAGGCTTGGACCTTGTGGGGAGTTCCACGACTATTTCAACTAGTCGTCCGATATGTCGTCAACGTAGTTTCGGCTCCGTAATCGCCGGTCGGCCCCACCCCCACAGCGGTGGTTTTTTGTTCGGTTTCCGAATATCTTTATTTTTATTCAGTAATTATTTAACGAAGACGGGTAACTTAAACTACATGTCGTTTCAAATTCTATTGTGGGTCCCACCAAAATTTAGGAAGGGGCCGAAACGGACCCGACATCAGAAACGCCCCCTTTTGCTTTTGTGATTCTTCCATGCATGAGAAGTAATACGTGTCAATTTCAGCCTAATCCAACCAATCAAAGTTTTCTTTTTTCTTTTTTGACGGAGTAACGCATCAAAGTATTAATGAAGTTAAATTATTAATTTGGCTCATAAAATTTAAAGTTAGTTTTAATTTAACCATTTTGTCCCACCTATGTGTCCTAATCAATTAATTAAGCTCGGCATAAAAAAAAACAATCAATTAAGCTCGTATTATATTTTTTTAGACTTAATTAAGCTCGTATTAACATTTTCTTTTTTTGAATACAACATGTTGGGGAGGGGATTCGAACTCACAACCACTTGGTTGGAGTTATGCTCGTATTAACATTTAATCTATATTGTTTTAATTTAGTTTTTAACTTGTTTTTATTTATATTTATAACCTGTAATATATTAAAAAGAGATAATCTTAATATAACTATCTCTTATTTTTTAATTTATAAATTATTTGGCATGCTACTACTAGTATATTTCTAATAATCAATTAAGGGCAAAATAAAATTTTAATCCTTGAGATTTGGAAAAATGTTTCAAAGAGTTCTTGAACTTTTTGACTTTTAATTGGTAAAATATATTTATTTCTTCTTCCTTTCTCCTCCTCCATCTTTGTCACTCCGCCATCACCCTATGGAGTCCATATTTATTAAGGGCTCGGGCCTTGAACCTCCCTTAAATTTCGTGCAATATATGATTAATATGTTATAAGTTAACAAAATATGTCTTGATTAAGGTGGGGTGGAGATCTAACTTACAATATTTTGATTGGAGATATATGTTATTTACCGTTGAGTATATACTCATTTTGACGTTTTTTTTTTCAAAATTAAAATATGACCATGTTATATTTTTTAATTTGATATATTAACGTTTTTAATAACTTTAACAAGTGAAAAGTTACATATTAGAAAAAAAACAAGGGAAAAGTTATGTATATTAAAAGTTTTTGCCTATTTATTACTAACAACTTATCATGTTAGCATTGAAATTAATAATTGAACTCAAAAAGTGGTTCCAATAATTTTCCAACTTATCTATATATATAGTACCTCTACTTATTTCTATATCTATTTAACTTTATTTTTGTTTAAAAAAAAACTTTTTATCTTTTCGTTTACTTATTTTCATTTATTTATTTATTCTTTTTAAACTTCATATACTTGATAGTGTTATAGTGTCCAACTGCATACTACATTGAGTATATTGATTTATAAATTATTTTACAATTGGTATTGCTAGGAGTTTATGCTGATTATAATTTTGAAATTTAATTATGATTGATTGTGTTAGTTTATCAATTTAACATGCTTATTCCTCCATTTTCTCTCATTTTAACATTAAGAAATAATGATAGTTATTTTTTTAGTTTTTTCAAAATGAAAGTAACATTTTTAGTAAGTATTAAATGAAAAATTAGCTAACAACACAACTATAAATATTCTATTTAAATTAACATTAAAAGTTATTAGTAGTTAATTAATAATATATTTAATTATAATTGTAAAGTATATTTATTTCATTAAATATAAATTAATCGTAACTCATTAAAATTAATATAATAAGTTAAAAATATACTAAAAATAAATATTATAAAAGTAGTATAATATAATATTATTTTCATGATAGTATTGGATTATATTTATAAATTAATTACACAAACAATATAATATTGATTCAAATGAGTAAAAGTAACTATGAAATGTGTAGTTATGAGAACCTTTTTTTCAAGAAAAAAAATGATAAGTTCATAATCCTAAAAATTAGAACAAAAAATCAATAAGATATTTATTAACTAAAACTATAATTATTAGAAATTTAACATTGAACTAATTAAATTTAAAACACCATATAATTAATAAATGTATGAAATTTAAAATTTTTAAATAGGAAAAGTTTTGTCTTTTCACATTTTTAAAATATTATCTTTAATTATATGTAATTATATATATAACTTTAAATGAGTCTGAATTTTAAAAATTTCATAACTTTTCGGGAAGACTAGAACTATAAGTTATTTCACCCGACATTACATTTATTGTCATTTATCCTAAACACTTAATTTTTTATATTATTTTTAATTAATTGTGGTATTTTTTAAATCTTTTATGTGCCATGTAGTAATATACTAGTACATTTTTAAGTGTAAATATACTAGTTCTCTTAAATGCTTTATAAAATTTAATGTCACGATCTACCAAAAAATGAGTTAGGTGTAGATTTGTAATTTTTTTTCCTTGATAGGGTAGATACATACTTTTATATTAAATAACTTTTTTTTCCATAGGAGTAGAGTTCAAATGCATATATGATAGACAAAAAAGTTGAAATTTGAATTCCACGGCAAATTTAATAAAAAAAAAATTACACATGAAGATTACAAGAAAAATAATGGTAAATAATAACAATCAAAACATATTTTCCATAATTTTTGTTCTAAAAAATTAAATGTTGATTTTGAAAATATACCATTCCTCAATCATCATCAAACTGATCTTTCTTCCAAATTCTTCTTTGTAATTGCTATAAAAAAATGTAATTAAAAATAACGAAAATTGACACAAAAATCACTCAATCTTCAATAAAATAAAATAAATAAAATAACATTTAAAGATCTTAAAATATTCTACTCCTGAATCTGATGCATTAAATATATGAATTGCTCAAAATTTATAAATTGATTCCAATTCTCGGTCCATACACGTGTACATCCAGAATCTCCCACTTTTTATAACTGGCTCTTCTTTGACTACTGTAACATCAGCATCAAGCTTCCTACAATCATATTTTCATATAATTCGATTATACAAAAATCAAGATGATAATACAATGAAATACACATTTATTTACTTCTTAGGTTTAAGAAATATTTATTGTCACCCACCTGAGTATAGTTCATCGAGTCAAAAATATATATATTATTGACTAAAAAAAATTGTAGATTTGATTCTCTACATACACGTATTGTTGAACTAACAATTAAGTTCTTATTCTAAATTGGATATCTCGTTTCAAACCAGAACTATAATAGTCTAGAACGATAGCTCCATTCTATATCATATTTAGAACGAAAGTTCTGAAAAATTAATTTGAAACGAAACATTATTTTTGATTAGATATGATCTAATTTTAGACAAGTCGCACAGGAGGAAGAAGAGATTTTGAACCCCCCATTTATTATAGAATATATAAAGTTAACAAAATCCAATCACTTATTACTTGTCAGTCATCTTTCTTATACTATTTTTCAAACTTATATAGTTTATTTTGAAATGGACACCAACCCATAAAAGTTATATATTTTTTAAAAATGTATTGCAACCTAAATTTCAATCATATATTTTACCTATTTCAAAAAAAAAATTATTTTACCTGCGAATATGCTTTTTGTTATTGCCCACGTTTTCCAGCTACTCGTTGATAATGAGCTCATAACTGCAAATTGCATAATTGATGGTTCAATAAAGACTAAAATACATTGATTACAGTGTGTATATTATTGATTGCCTATCTCAATTATTGATCGTTTCCAGAAATATGAAAATAATAATAATAATAAATAAAGGTACTATGAAACAATTATATTAAGTCTGCAGATATTGACTAGCCCATTTATTGGAGTAAGTTTAAACAACTGTCCTCGAAAGAGGTCAAATCCTTCAAATTTTAAAATTCATATAGATTAAAATAAATAAATAAATAATTGTTAGATTATAAAGTTTAACATGTTAAATTATAAAGTTAGTTCATAATCTCTGCGCCTTATTATATTATCTTTGATGTGGTCGATAATTGACTAAACTAATTGGTAGTTAAAATAAAAGCACAATCCAAAATTTGAAAAAACATAATTGAAAGAGTTTTAAAATTTCAAAAAGCTTAAAATTTAAAACCAAGCCTTTAATTTAATAAAACATGAATTAAATGACTTGTGTATGTGGCTGTGATAACCTCGTTCTTTTGATAAGATTTTCGTTTTTTCGTTTTGATTTATTTATTTTTTTCAAAAAATAAAAACAAAATATATTTAGTAATTATTTACTTGTTTGTTTTAATTGCTCAACAAAAATATTAATTGTTTGTTTTTTAAATTTTAAAAAAATACGTCTCGTAGTGGTCTGTTATTCTCTCAAATTTTATAATTAAAAAACCAAAAGTTTTGCATGGAGTAATTTTTAAATAAAATAATAAAAAATTATATTATATTTACTTTTGAACATATATTATACATTTTATTAGTTGAAAATGATAGCATAATGATTTTATTTTTAATTAAGAAAATTTGAAAGTGAAACAAGAAAAAGAAAAAATTATCGGCTCCAAAATTTTTCAGCAATTTTGAAAACGATTCTTACAAATAAAAGACGAGAAAAAGGTCCGAAACCTACCAAAATCACAGGTGGAGGTAGAGTTGGAGGTACCACACATGCACAGCTGTCTAACACCGTCCGTACCGTACCCACACGTGCCGCCAGTGGCTTGGCACGCTCTACAGAAGTCTTCATTTGCCTGGACCGTATACTTCACACGAATTCCATAGGCCCACTCATCAGGCCCATTAATCCTCAACGGGGCCAGGCTATAGGCGCTGCTGTAGCCTTCACACTGAAGCTTCGTCAGA